CACAGCGTTGGTTGAACTTTTGGTGCATCTCAAAGAGTGGGACCCTTGCCTTTATTGCCTCTTGCTAATCTCTCAACTTGTAGGTCGCTGATTTCATGTCATGAACACTGGATAACCTTTTCAGATTGTACCTTCGTGCATGAAATCATATCTTTGCATTCAACCTTGCTGTGCTCACCAGGTTGATGTGTATTAATTAATTATATATATATATGTGTGTGTGTATGTCTACAAACATACATTACATTACATTACATTACAATACATTACATTACAATACAATACAATACAATACATTACATGACATTACATGACATAAAAACGCAACGTAAGGTAACATTACATTGCATCCCTTCACATCACATCACAAACATGCATGCATGCACACATTACATTACATTACATTACATTACATTACATTTCATTACAGTTCGTTGCATTTCATTACATTTCATTACATTTCATTACATTTCATTCCAATTCATGACATTTCATTACATTACATTCATACATACATACACGCATGCATGCATGCATGCATGCATATACACATAACATGACATAACAAACAACATATAACATAACATTATATTACGTTACATAACATAGCATTACCTGAAAACGTAACGTAAGTTAACATTACATCGCATCACTTCACATCACATCACAAACATGCATGCACACATTACATTACATTACATTTCATTACATTTCATTACACTTCATTACATTTCATGGCACTACATTCATACATACATACATACATACATACACACATACATACACACATACATACACACATACATACACACACATACATACATACATACATACATACATAGATACACAAATACATAGATACATAGATACATGCATACATACATACGTACATACATACATACATACAGTACATACAAACATTACATTCATTACATACATACATTACATACATACATACATACATACATACATACATACATACATACATTACATACATTACATTACATTACATTACATTACATTACATACATTACATTACATTACATTACATTACATTAATACATACATACATACATACATACATACATACATACATACATACATACTTACATACTTACATACTTACATACTTACATACTTACATACATACATACATACATTACATACATTACATTACATTACATTACATTACATTACATTACATTACATACATTACATTACATTACATTACATTACATTAATACATACATACATACATACATACATACATACATACATACATACATACTTACATACATACATACATACATACATACATACATACATACATACATACATACTTACATACTTACATACTTACATACTTACATACTTACATACTTACATACTTACATACTTACATACAGACATACAGACATACAGACATACAGACATACATATATATATATATATTTATATGCTAGCCCCCTCAGATCTACCTTTGATGCTCTTCGAGAGACATACATGATGAAACTCACTGCATACTTCAATTCATTATACAATGAGTTTGATCATGCAAATTTTGCAAGCCCTTGAAAGAAGCGGTATCCCGACAACATATAGAGCATTCCTCTAAACATGCAGTGTTCCTTTCTGACGAAGTGCAGTTTTCCTGCAGGAAATTATCCAGCCTTCGCTCAATCATACAGGATTTCTTTTAAGACACCTGATTCCTACACAATATGCAGTGTGTGATGAATATTGAGTATTGCTGTGAAAATGTGCAAAGGTTGATTTCCTTGAAAAAGAATGATTGTTTGTCTGTATATGTGTGTGTATGTATGTATGTATGTATGTATGTATGTATGTATGTATGTGTGTATGTATGTATATATACATATGTGTGTACACCCTTCTAACACAGGGCATGGTTAGATGCACATCTTCATACAACAATGCAGGGGGATGGAGAGGACGTATGAGGCTCCATCCAACGAAGCTCCTCATATGCTCCTAGGATATCAGCAGGGACGCTTGGTGACGTACCTGCAACCCGTTCATCTTTTTGACATAGCTCCCAGGCTAAGCTCAAACCTGGCTAGCCGATTTCCCCTATCATAAGGAACTTGGGGTTTTCTGTGTTTTGGGAGTTGTGTCTCGTTCATGCGACTACATCAATACCTTCCAACTTGGATACAGCCTCGACAAGGTCTACCAGGTAGGAATTGCCAAATCTGTTCATTTAAAATTTTGCAGAACGAACTACGCACGATTCGACGCGACCAATTTGGAACCAGCTCCAACTCTTAAAACCAGTCCAGTGTGTTAATGTCGCCCCGGCCTATATAGTCCGGGGGGGGCTGCATACCTCTGTGTTGGAGGGGTAGTGCACAAACAGGACAGGTCAGTGACCCAGAGTAGGCTCGAAATGCCAACGCAGCTGAGAGGCATGCAAGCAAGAGTTCGTGCAGGCTTAGAGCCATGAAACCCTAGAAGGGCCGACCAACTTCAAGCAATGCCACACATAGTCAAAGACAAGGAAAATAGTTCAGAAGAACACGTGCAGCTTTAATGCATTCAAAACCTGATCGCGGCTATGTTTGCTTGATGCATTTGTCCACCCTTTTGAAGCATTGTCCTTTGGTGGGGTGGTTTTGGATTTATTTATGTTGCTTTGTTTTACCTCAGCGCAACTTGGAGTTTGAATACTGTTTCTCTAAGTTTCTGTCCATAAACGCCTGGGTTGTTGCATAAGATTGTTGTGCTTCGTCGATGGCAGCAGAAGCACACGCAGAACAACAGCAAGTCATTTGGATTTTTCGATCAACATCCCAAGTTGCATAATATCAGTCAAGCCGGCTCCAAACACATCACCAAGACAGTTTAAGTTGGTTGGTTGGTAGCTGGGCGAAACTGGAACAAAACGACAAAACTATAAACATGTGTGAAGCGCGCATCCTGTTTGATATGCATGTTTCGCCATGTCAACTCATGTCAACTGAGCCTGAAGGCCACTGGGCTAAACCGAAAAAACCCAGGATGTCAGTCTAGTGTTTACATGTTGTGACGCGTACATGTAGTCTGATAGCCATTGGGCAAAGCCGAAAAAAACCCAGGATGTCAGTCTACTTTCTATGCGACTGGGCAAAGCAGCAAAAACACAGGATGTCAGTCTAGCGTCTACACGTTGTGATGCATAAACTCCGTCTGATGGCCACTGGGCAAAGCCGAAAAAACCCAGGATGTCAGTCCTTACATGGTTTGACGCGTAAACTCCGTCTGATGGCCACTGGGCAAAGCAAAAGAACGCAGGATGTCCGTCTACTTTTTACATGTTGCAATCCGGTCACTCGGTCTGATGGCCACTGGGCAAAGCTGCAAAAACCCAGCATGTCAGTCTAGCGTTTACACATTGTGATGCATAAACTCCGTCTGATGGCCACTGGGCAAAGCCGAAAAAAACCCAGGATGTCAGTCTACTTTCTATGCGACTGGGCAAAGCAGCAAAAACACAGGATGTCAGTCTAGCGTTTACACGTTGTGATGCATAAACTCCGTCTGATGGCCACTGGGCAAAGCCGAAAAAACCCAGGATGTCAGTCCTTACATGTTGTGACGCGTAAGCTCCGTCTGATGGCCACTGGGCAAAGCCGAAAAAACCCAGGATGTCAGTCTATAGTCTTTACATGGTTTGACGCGTAAACTCCGGAAAAACCCAGGATGTCAGTCTAGCGTTTACATGTTTTGACGCGTACGTGTAGTCTGATGGCCACCGGGTAAAGCCGAAAAATCTTAGGATGTTAGCCGATACCGTTTTCACGTTGTAACGCGCAAACTCCGCCTGATGACCACTGGACAGACGCAGGTAGCGACACCAAACCATGGCTGACGTCAAGGGTTCAGACAATATTGCGTATGTTGGCTTGGATAGGTCGGAAGCAAGTGCAACATGGGCTTGCGTGATTTGCTAACAACAACTAGAACAGACGCAACTCCTGCGTTTACATTTCCACAGGGTATTTTTGAGCAGATTCGTAAGATTGCAACGCCGCCATTTTACAAAGAACATGCGCTCATCTTTGCCATAACAAGCTTTGTGTGTGTGTGCACCCACCCTTCTAACACAGGGCATGGTTGATTGCACATCTTCATACAACAATGCAGGGGGATGGAGAGGACGTATGAGGCTCCATCCAACGAAGCTCCTCATATGCTCCTAGGATATCAGCAGGGACGCTTGGTGACGTACCTGCAACCCGTTCATCTTTTTGACATAGCTCCCAGGCTAAGCTCAAACCTGGCTAGCCGATTTCCCCTATCATAAGGAACTTGGGGTTTTCTGTGTTTTGGGAGTTGTGTCTCGTTCATGCGACTACATCAATACCTTCCAACTTGGATACAGCCTCGACAAGGTCTACCAGGTAGGAATTGCCAAATCTGTTCATTTAAAATTTTGCAGAACGAACTACGCACGATTCGACGCGACCAATTTGGAACCAGCTCCAACTCTTAAAACCAGTCCAGTGTGTGTTTGCGATTGTAGGACTGCAGTACTATGACATAGAACATACTAGAGCATAAATTGAATGAACTCCCATTTTTTCTCTCTTGCAATAATTTTTCCCTGCAGTTTACAGTATGTCCCAAACACACTTGGTATGTCACAAAGGCACGTATCATGTTCCTCCTGTCCCGGGAGTTTGTGTTGTACACGGGTCTCTTGTTTAGCTTCACGTTTCTTGCAAGACTGGTCAGTTTGATAGATTGTAATTTTCAAGCATTCTTGCAATACTGCCTAGTCAGGAAGAAGCTAGTCCTCTCTTGCAGTAGTATCACGGTTGTTGGTGGGTTTTTGTTTGTTCGAACTTGGCATTCGTCATTGCGCTATATATAACATATTATCTATGCGAAAGGCTGAGGGACCTGCTTTTTATTGGCATACGGGAATTGAAGGACAGCTGTACTGTCATGTTGCCACATGGAAATCTCTCTCTCTTTTGCTGGATGCGTCCTGTCACAAGGAGAGGACAATGCTGCAGTCTTTCATGCTTTGGACAGATGGATTTTGCAACAATTTTGAAACTGGAGCGATTCCTGTCTGGATTTTTGTTGATGGTAGATGTTCTTCTCAAAGCTGTATGAAGCCTCCTGTGATCAGTATGTTCTTTCAGTTATTGCTTACGTTGGCATTTGCTTTGGAGGTGTCCATTCGTTTTGGAAGTTGTCTCTTTGGCGGCAGATATGCATCATCGTTTCCAGGAGTGTATGTCCTTCAGAATTCAAAAACTGTTATAAGAATCACAATTACTCTCTGAGGTGTCTAAAAAATTAAACGATGTATAAAGGACATCTGCGCCCATCACACGCCCTTTCAAATAGAAAAGGCTCCGGTTTGTCGCCCTGGTATGCACTGGTTAAAAGTCCAGCCCGTTCCCATTGTTGCCCTCATGATATCAGCAGGTCAATTTAAAATTTCCTGAAAAATCAACGCTTCCGCATGGTGGTATTTCCGGCAGAATACTGCTTAAAAAAAAAAAAGTACCGGGGTACCGGGATTTCACCATATTTCACTCAAATCCAGGCGTCGTCCAGTTTCTCCATGGTCATCACCAAGGCCCTGGCTTCGCGGTCGCCCGCGCCGTAGGTCACCAGCACGGTGTTTCCTTTCACGGCTAAGCCACTGGCGAAGGCGAAGGCAACGCCATTCGGCGTTGCTGCGGCTTCGGACAAGGGCAGTTGGGAACTCACTTGGAGAATCCTGGGTCAGACCGAATTTGGATGTGATTAGGGCGGTGAAGGTGGGGAAGTTGTATTGGAAATATTGGAAATATTGGAAATTGATTGCCAATTTCATCAGTTGACCATCAAGTCACACTTGACAAAAGGCATTCAGGTCGGATAATTGCCTTTCGGCCAAGCAACATGAAAGGAGGCTCTGCTTGAAAGCGATATGCAAAGTGCCCATAGCGACGCGTGGAGGGGTCGAACAAATGGATCAAGGCCAAGTAATGAGGATGTGGCAAGTGCGGGGTCGACTTTGGATTGTCCACCAGCACAGCCTGGCGGAACAAACACATCATATGTCATATGTTCATCAATACTGCAACGCTGCATGATGTGGCTATTTGATGCTATTTGACTATACGTCTAGATATGTGCATGTGGATACGAGATGTACAATTGGTTATAATTCTATATATCATTATGAAATGCCGACCCTAAAAGCAGGCAAGACACAAGGCGGGCCGGTTTTGCGTATGCCAGTATGGCTTAGGCCTAAAAGGTCCACGGCCAGAAATGGTTTCTGCACATGCGGCTGGTGTCACATGCTCAACCCTCAAACATCATCCATGACACTCAATGCCTTTCTCAGGGGATATATGTTTTCTTTGGAAATGAGATGGGGTTTGGAAGAATGACACCAGCACGTCTGCTATCTGCCCGATAGCACCATAGCTGTACGGGAGGTCGGCATAGCTCACAGCATCTTCGAGCTTCCTCCATTCTGTGGTGCCATCAGATTTGTCAAATCTGCAGTAGGAGCTACGCAAACTGTACACAGCAGGGTCATGTCTCGGCTTTGGAGATCGGAATGCTTTTGCATTCTTCGCTACATGAACTACAATTCCGTCTCTCAGATGCCAGCCAGGCTGCTCAGCAAGCTTCACCAGTCGGCTCAGTAGGGGATCTTCTCCATTCATAGGCCGCCCCACCACCACATCGTCGGTAGGTGCTTTCGCTTTCTTCGGTTTCGCCGTCTGTTTGATGAAGTCCTTGCTAAACTTCGCACACCAAACTCCTTGCTGCAACACTTTGTGGAGGTGACTCAGGTCCATGTCCTTGGTGAGCGCGTCGATCAGCATGTTCTCAGTTGCCGTCCATTGGAGGGACGTGTTGGGCAAACGCAGGATCGCCCGAAGCCAGCTCACAGTGAAAGCTAGGCTCTTTTGAGAACCATATGATGGGGTATCTGAGTTCCCCTTGTCAAACACATCCTTCGCATCGGTGATGACAGCTAATGGAACTTCTGTGATGCCACCTTCAATGATCGTGTCCGCGTTCTTTTCCCAAAGGCTGTTCTTGTCCAGCTGATAGCCAAGACATTCTGCAACACACCCACGCACGTAGATGCCGTTGTCGAAGGCTTCTTCCACTCCAAGCAACTCTGCTGCAAACGTCGATCTGCAGACTCGGCTTAAGCGGTGACTGCGAGCATCAAGCACGCAGAATCTGCCAGGCTTGCCAGCCATGAGGTTCTTGTCACCCAGCAGAATGATGTAGGCAGACTGGCTGAAGACCTTGACCATCGGGTTGTCTCCACTGCTGCCGTTCTTTTCCACATTTCCCAACGATGCATCGGAGATGCACATCAAACCACACCCATCCAAATCCATCGGATGAAACCAAAGTGCAAAAGATGAGTGCTCCTTGAACTTCTTCAGGAGGTTGTTGGCTTTCAGCATCGTCCCCACCGTAGGAACTTCTCCTTGGAGTGTGCATAGGGAAAATCCCATGTCAAAACGGACTTGGGTCACAAGCCATTGAAGGCTTCCCAGCAACGCACGCAGCTGCTTTTGTTCTGCAGGAGTCACATTTGCTTGTGGTGTTTTCCGCCTGGCCAAAGGAATGACAATGGGCTTGAGGTTCTCGTGGTATTCTTTCATGGAAACTGAAATGGAACCATCTGGATGTTGTTCAAAGAGCTTGCCGCAATAGACAAACTTTCCTTCCTCCAGCGATCCATAGCCAAGCTCCTCGCCAAGCTTGATCAGCAGGTTCCGGGCATCAGCATCTCCTCCAAAAAGAAGATCATCCACATGACTGATGATCATGCCCTTCAAGACGCTGCGGTCTTCATTCCACAAATACCAACATGCCATGTCAACACTTGACCTTTCCCAGCCCAAACGTGTAAGACCCTTGTGAAGGCGCAAATACCATCTTCTCGGACTGTCGGCCAATCCAAAAATTCCTTTTCGTAGACGTCCAATGCATCCATCAGCCATAGGGAGCTTCGGTTCATCTGGAGAGCCAACTCGCACATTCTCAATGTAGAGGATTCGCTCGCCATCTTTGAACTCTTCGCCCTTCAGGAAGGCAGACTTGACATCTGCGCTCATCAAGTACCACTTCTTGGATGAAGTGAGTATGAGAAGCAAATGAACTGATGTTCTTGTCCCAGTCGGAGCATCCAAACGTAGGCTATAGGAAGTCAAATCCTTGTAGCCCGGCACAACCAATCTTGCAGAGGGCTTGACAGGGAGGTTGTTCTCCTTCGTCCGCAAACCATCATGCTTGTCTGTATAAACGTATCTGGGTGCCATGATGCGATGCTTCTGTCCAGTGGCTTCCAATTGCCGTCGGATCTTCCGGGAAACATCAAGAGGCAAAACTTCCACCGCCTGATTGTCTAACCAAACATTCCACCCGCTTTCAGCAGCTTCTCGGAAGGCTTGATGATGGGCTTCCGGGATGTCTTTCCACTTGTACTCTTTTCGTGCGGTCTGCACTGCCAGAGCTTCTTGAAGACCTCTGGGCCAAACACTTCCAGTTGCAGTCATAGCTTGCCACTCTGATCGCGTCGGCAAGGGCCAATCACCTTTCCAGGTTCCACGATCTTCCACAACATGCTCAAGTGGGTTCTTCTGATCTTGGGCAGCGTCAAGCCATAGCTGTCGCAAGGGATGAAGTTGTTTGCCAGAGAGCTCATTGGTGGAAACGCTCTCAAACGTTTCAGGTGCGCTAGCAGCTGTTGCCACGCATCCCACAAACATCGCTTCAGAAACAGGTGCTTCGGCTGAAGCTGATCCACCATCAGTTGGCTGCACGGTTTGAGCCAATTCTTCCAAAGACATCTCAGCCTCGCGCTTTGTTCCAGCAGCGCCAGGTTGGTCAAGTTCATGAGCACGCTCGATGATGCTATCCATCCTTGCTTGGTCTCTTGCACGAGCCATAAGGTCGCCCACTGGTGAGCCACTGCGTCTTGCATCAGCAAATGGCTTGCTCGGTCTCCGAGAGGACGCCAAAGAAGAAGGCAAGGATGAGGGCATACTGAAACTCATAGCAGGGGCTACTGAACTTGCACCAGCTTGCAATGCACTGGTAAATTCCTGAGCGTTCACTGGCGGTAAATCGCTCAGAAATTGTTGTCCGGCTGGAACTTCTTGCATTGGAGCTTGCAAAGGTTGAACTTGTTGTTCAGTACCAGGAGCAGGAGAGGCATCAGGTTGGTTTGGCTGCTGTTGTTGTTGTTGAGCTGCTTGTCGTTCTTGTTCATCTCTGGTAGCAGCTTCAATGATCTCATCAATTGCATCACGCCAAACTTCACTGGCAATCTGCTCCATGGTTGAAGCTAAACGTACATGTTCTCTGGCACATTTGGTCAGCTGACCTTTGTGGCTAACATAGCAGTTGGTGGTGCCTTCATTGGCAACAAGCAATGCTGGACCATGCCATCGTCGTAGAGAAAGCTTCTTCTTCTGATTTGAGGTCTTGTTGTTGTACTTCTGCATTCGGAAGTAATACACAATGGCACCAGGTTCCAACGGTTGAGCCACAGTGGTGTTGCGGGAACGGCTAGTCATTGCTTTTCTCAGGCCTCGGCTAAAATGAAGCCGTGCCATGGCCACACGTGCTGTTTCTCGCATGGCCACCTGTCTCGCCAGGCTAGGTGTTGAATCAACGAGTCCATGTTCCGCAAGTCTTTGACCAAAGTTGCCCAAAACGTCACCTTGCAGTCAGGGCTGACGACCAATCGCAGCCTGAGATGGGCTGACGCCACTGTCGTTGATGTCATGGTTGTAGGCAGTGACTGCCTCTTGAAGCGCCAAATTCATCTCTTCGCTACCTTGAATGCTTTTGCTTTTGATGATCGCCCCCAAAACTGCTTTGATGATGCCACCTGCACGTTCACATAGACCATTTTGCCAGGGCGCTTGAACAGCGCAATGCCAAAGGAGAGTGGAGTTTTCAGAGCAAAGTCGCTCAAATGCCCAGCTTACAAACTCTTTGCCTTGGTCTGCAACAAGGACTCGAGGTGGTCCAAAAATTGGGAACCATCTTGTTTTCATCCATTGGATCACAGAGTCGCTGGACTTGTTGGGCAGGACTTCAGCCATCTGAAATCTGCTTGCATGGTCTATGGCATGAACCACATAGTATCTAACTCCAGCGCAATCCCAAGCTTCCAAAATGTCTATGTGGACCTGGTCAGAAACCTCCTTGGGGACAGGCAAGGACATAGGTCTTTGAGGCTTCGGACCCTTCATTTCTTGGCAAACACTGCAGCGATGCAATTTAGCTGCACGTACAACTTCAGCAGGGGCACCTGAAATCATCAGAGCACGTGCCAAACGTCGGTTGCTTCTGTGCCCTGTGTTTTCATGCAAACGCTTCACAGCATGTTTGATGGCTGCAGGGATTCTTTCATGCTGCTGACCTTGTTCTTGGCCAGGTTGATCATCATCCGATGAAGCACTAGGAACATCTTGAACTGCTCCGTCACTGCCACCATCAGACATTTCTCCATCACCATCTTCCTCCGCCGCCAAAACATCATGTTGTTGTGGTTGTTTCATGATTTCCTCCTCCATTGCATCAACCATGGCCTTGGCAAGCTTGAGGGGATAGTGACCTGCAAGGGAAGTGATGTGCTTGCCCCCAATGACATGTTGATGTTCATGACTGCCGTCGCAACGCACTAAGTCCAATCGTGCTTGCACGGCTAAGCTGCTTGTGGCCATTTGAGTGCCCTTCTTGTGCAGCTTGCCCTGTGCAGACATAAGTCCAAATCTGCATTGATCAAAGCGGGCTATCTTGGCCTCCTCCTCTGCAAGGAACTTGATCACTTCCGGGAGGCTCCATGAGGCTGACCCAATTGGGTTTTCCAAGATGAAATGGCGTCCATGGCGTAGCTGATATCGCGCTAAGTCCAAGGCGAATTGGATCAGCTGCCTATGCTCAGATCTGATGGCCTCCAAGTTGGCAGAGGGATTGAGCCTCATGAGTGGGGACCAGGGTCCACATGGATATGCAATGACAAGAAACTGGGGCTTGTCACGCTTCACCATCTTGAATGCTGCTTTGCGGTCAAGGGCTCGGCGAAAATCCCATCCAGTCTCCAGTGACAAAGGTTCACCTGTCAAGTGGCCTCGTCGTTGGGCTTCTTTGGTCACCCGTTGAGATGCTGTAAAGATCTCCTGGAGAATTGGTTGCCGATCTTGGGGATGAGACAAATCGATGGCTGTCATCAAGGTCTCATTCATATAGCCGTTGATCTTGTCTTCCCATTCCAACTCCATAACCTCATAGATCTCCTTGGCAGATTTTGAAGTCAGCTGGCTGTCATGTTCATGTCGTTGCCAGGCTTGTGCAATCTGCTGCGAAAGTCCAGGTCTGACTTTCTGATGGATCTTCCATGGATTGCTTTCAGGCACATCTTTGCTCATTTGATCAGGTCGTAGGGGTTGTCCGAAGAAAACTCCCCGTGCTGAGCTTCGTAGCGCTCTCTGTTGCGCTCTGTCCAATAGTCTGCGTTGATCTGGTCGATCTCTTGTTGGGTCCAGCCATCTTCCATCACCTCCATGCTGGCGTCCACCAAGTTGAACTGCTGTGGATGGTTGCCCTGCACGGCCATCACTTGTTGCATGACCTGGTTCAGCATGGTTTGATATCGTTGATCTTGTTGTGCAAATAGATGTCGAAGCTGGCCCAAGTTGATCTGGTCTGCTGCCGGTGCTGCAGTTGGCTGTGAAGACATCGCGGCTGGTGAAGGTGTTGCCGCCTTTGGTGCAGCCGGTGGTTGATGGCTGCTGCCACTTCCAGGATCTGCCTTTGGCTTTGCCTCCATTTTCAAGTCTTTGATCACTGGACGGCACAAGGTTTTGATGTCCTCCACGGTCATCTTGTCGGTGACCTCCACGTGCAGCAGTGCAGCAAGCTTTATCAGGTCTCCTCGCAAGGGCGGAAGGCCACCTCTTGGTCCCACAAGCGACCTGATGGCATCTTGCGTCTTGTTTTCTTGCTCGGCTTTCTGTGCTAGTTGTTGAGCTTCCAGTGCTGCTTCTCGTTTCAGTCGAGAGGCCATTCCTTTTGAAGACTTTGCTGCCATCATGCCTTGTAGCAGAGGGTCTTCCAGAAATGCGAAGCGCAGGCCCATTCTGTTGCCGAAGGCTTTCAACTCGGCTAGGTTGCTCATGGTGAAGGCATTCAGTTGCTTGGCTCTGGTCAAATGCCTCTTGGGAAAGCAACCCGCAGTGGCCATAGTCTGACATTGGGACTGCCATTGCACCAGATTTTCCACCGATTGGTACGGAATTGGCAGGTAGCGCAGATAGGGCCGTGGCAATAGCCACAAGAGCAGTCCATGCGCGTGCCATGCGAGGCGCACGAACAGTCTTTGAACCATTCTTGCCCATCTTGTCATCCATGTTCTTGGCACGCTGGAAGGCTCCATCTGGTTGTAGAGCTCGGTCACGAGAGCTGCACGCTCGGGATCTGGTCGTAGGCGATGTCGTCGAAAAGGTTGATCGCCGCAAAGGCGTCATGTCTTGAGCCATATGAGCCAAATTTTGCGAAGCGGCATCATGAGGTTTCGCCACCAGTCCAGAGTGTGACAAGTCCGCAGCTTTGCAACTCTGCTCAGTCACCAAATGTTCATGCTCAGCTTTTCCTGAAACAACATGTGCTGTCAACTTTCGCTGCAACCATTCCTGAGCTGAAACTTGAATCTCAACCACACCATCTTGGCCAACTCTGCGCCAACGATGCGCACCTGGTGAAGCCCAAGTTGATGGTGCCAGCCGCAGCGCAAAGTGACCTGCAGCGATCTGTTGCAGTTTCACCAGTGGAGTGCTCAGCAGGTCAGCCCGCATCATCTTTCTGGCAAATGATACAACTGCACCAATGGAGTCCAAAAAGTCACGTCCAAGCAAAAGTCCAAGGCTGGGAACATCTACCACTGATACCCAAACGCATAATAAAACATCACCAATCATCATAGGAATACGATACCTCTTGAAACTGGTCTTGCAGCCGCCATTGCCAAAACGAAAAACTTCCTTCTCAGGGGATGAAATGATGAGGTTCTGGATGAATTGAGGTGCATTGGAAAGAGAGTTGATGTAGTGGTTGATCCAAACTTCCCCAGAGCAAGTTCTGTTGCATGCACTATCCAAAGCGCCCACCAACTTTTTGTCAGAAGAAAGCTCAGCTGGCTGCTTGGCTTTGGCGTTCTGGTCAAAGTTCAACGCCTCGTGCCAAGACATGGCATCACAAGTCATCACTTCGTGATCAGGCTGCAAGTCGCGGTCCACAGTCTCAACTGCATGCTCGGTGTTCAGGGCTTCGGTGATCTTCACATGTTTGGTGGCGTTCTGGTTAGAGCCACCTTTGCCTTTCGGACGGTAAAGTCCGGCGCCAGGACGGCCACATTGTGGGTCTCCGCCCCAGTGTCCTTGTTCTCCACAATCCCAGCATCTAGTGTTCACCTTCTTGGCCTGGGACGGGTTGCCATGCATTGGCTGCTTGGCTTTGTTTGCATTGCCCTTTCCACCACCGATCTTTCCAAAACCACGGTCCTTTCGAACCTCTGCTATCTTTGTTCTGGCCTCCCTCATAGTGACCAGGGATTCTGCAGCGGCTTCAACGCCGGTCTCAAGCTCCTCCAACAGCTGGGGCTCGATTGAGCCTTCCTCCTCTAGCTCCTGGATCTCGGCTGCCAGGATTTCTGCTTCAGTCTGAAGCACTTCCTCCAAGGTTTGAGCTTGAGCTCCATCTCCATCATCTGCAGGAACAAGTTCTTCCTCTTCCTCAGGCTCATAGGTCTCCTCAGGCGCTTCTGCAATCAGAGCTTGTCGTTGTGAAGGCTGAAACGGCTTCCGTTGAGGAAACTTTGATGCTGCATTGGACGGGGTTGATCTGAAGGACCTGAACGTCGATGCTTGTGAGCTCGCACTTGAAGGCATAGAAGTGCGATGGCTGGATGAACTTCCAGCACCGTTATTGAGAAACCTTTGCAACAGCGGTTTCTGCTCAAAAGCACGCTTCTGCAAGGGGTCAGCGGCATGAAGGTCTCGGAAAAGACGTAGTGCTTCTCCTTCAACTGCATCGTATTCTTCTCTTCCACCTAAAGCCGTCTCCAACAGTTGACGCCTGATGGCATCTAAGCCCATGCGGTCCTTCAGGAACCATCCAAGCTCGCTCTTCGGGAGGTCAATGCCCTCACGTTTCAACTCTGAAGCCAACGTCCTAAAACGTGTGCAAAAGGCTGAGATCCTTTCGCCTGGGGCTCTTCTCATGTCCTGGTAGAACTGGGCCCTCAACTCTCCACGCCGATCCAACTCGGTCTTGCCGACCGACTCCTCAAGAGCTTTCATCAACTTCTTCAGGCCGGCAAAAGGATCAGCAGGTGTCACAACTGTCTCATCGCCAGTTGCAGGGTCTGGCATGGTGATGGCTTGGGAACCAAGAAGCTCGTCCGGCTCGAACTCCTCGCACCTCGCTCTCACCACTCCAAACTGTCTCAACGCCCATCTGGCTGCTACATTGTATTTTCTGCATGACTCCACATCAAGCGAAGCCATCCACCAGCTCATCTCCTTCTTGAAGGATCTCCACTCAGCTGGGTTTCCACTCCATGTTGGAACCTTATACCAAGAGCTGGTTCCTTTCTCCTCTTCGGCCATCGTGCCCAGGAAAAAGTCAAGGGAGTTGCTGGTGCCCTTCTTGAGCTCCGTGACAACTCACCAAAAGAAAAGGGATGTCAATCTCAGTCACCAGGTTGGGGTCAAGGAAAAAGAAATGTCCAGTGCCAAGCCCGACTACCGCAAACTCCGCAGGAATCTTGAAGTAGAAGTCCAAGCACAAAGGCAAAAGGTGCTAAAGCCCGACCACCGCAAACTCCGCAGGAATGTTGGGGTAGAAGTCCAAGCACAGTGCAAAAAGGTGCTAAGGCCCGACCACCGCAAACTCCGCAGGATTGTTGGGGTAGAAGTCCAAGCACAGTGCAAAAAGGTGCTAAGGCCCGATCAAATCCATGTTCTTTAAGAAGTAGAATCCAACCAAAAGGCCAACAGGCCAAATCCACACCACACCAAAGAGGTCCGCAGGAGCTGCCAAGGTGAAGTGCAAATAGGCCACGGTGCCGTAGATCTCAAGCGGGAGCGCAGCGGCAGCACAGCAAGGATCGAAGCGCCAAACTCAGGCTCCGGTGCCACTATGAAATGCCGACCCTAAAAGCAGGCAAGACACAAGGCGGGCCGGTTTTCCTGTTGCGTATGCCAGTATGGCTTAGGCCTAAAAGGTCCACGGCCAGAAATGGTTTCTGCACATGCGGCTGGTGTCACATGCTCAACCCTCAAACATCATCCATGACACTCAATGCCTTTCTCAATCATGATATGTAACCACATACGATATGTGCCATGTGACAAATCACGGTTCCAAATCAAACTCGGTAGGATTCGGTACGATTTGACATGCGCTCTTCAGGCGCGGTCGCTGCAGCGCTCGCTTGGAATAGCAGCAGAAACCGCCACTATTCCAGCATTAATGCCGATGTTGTCCTCACTTTGTACAAAAGACAAACGAACCGACGAAAGAAAAAAGTGTAGCCTGAAATTCAAATGACAATGACATGGTCACACCAGCGTGTGTCTGTGTCAATTTCTCTATATATGTTTCATAGGCTATCATAGTATCTACATTTGTCACATTCATAACATGATGTATTGAAAAGCCATCAAACATCTGCCCCATCTTGGCCATCGTTGCGCCTGTGCTGAACCTCGAATCTCAAGATGTTCCTTCTGCAGTTGGTGAAAGGGCCCATGGGTGGTGCTGTAGATGGTATCTGAGCTGCTGCTACCGTCCTTCCGTCGTTGCCATGTGACTAAAACGGATCACTTTGTGGAACTTTGTGGTATACTGGGATCAAAAATTATCAAAACGGATCCAGTCGAATAATATCGAACAATCACCCACCCAGCAGTCCAAAGCAGCTTCAAGAATATAATGCGGCAGCGGTGTGTAGACAAAATGCAGAGAGCTATCATAGATGAAGGGAATCCAATTCTTCTCCGCCAAATCTGATGAGCCGCTTTTCAGCCGATATCCTTTGATCGGAACCAATGGCTTTGAAACATCAATGCTGCTGGCCACATACATCTGTGGCAGCGACTCTAAACGTCCCTGAGTATTTCTTCGACACGAGGAAGATTTGGAAGGACCTTTTGGAGGACGTGAGTCAAACGCCAAGAGAATGCCATCCTTCCCATCCGTCACCACCTTAGGATCTTCGGGGCCTGTGACGATCATGCGCATCAACGTGCGATTCTCGGGGATCCAGGTCTCCACCACGCACAAATCCTCCCAGGCTCTGCCATCTTCGGTCAACAGACCGCCCCAGCTACTCACTGTCACCTGCTCACAGAACATGTTCCCTGCCCTAGGTTTGCCCGCGGCGAATCCCGCATATCCCTAGAGACATGCTCAAATCCCTGCGTAGGATTTGAAGTTGTTTACTTTCCAGAACAACAAACCCTAAGCCCTAAAACCCTAAAGCCTACATCCTGAAAATTTAGAGTCAAATGTCAAAATCACTGCGAAAAGCCGGTGTTTCCATTCATCCTCTGGTGATGAGTATATCACAGTATATCATATTGTTTGGATGTGTTGTTTGTGTGTGGGCGAACCCCGGGAGGGAACATGTTTTATCATTGCTGCACTGCAGTGATGGCCTCTGGAACTGGGTTCACCGGGTTCACCGGGTTCACCTCCATGCTGCCTATGGCAGCACGACCCATGACGATGTCCGAGTGCCAAATCTCTTCGATGATCACCGCGTCCCACGTTCCATCGGGGCCATCGTAGACACCGCTGTGCTGTTTCGTTTCACGGCGGTGGCGACGCGCCACCACGATGAGTTCATCGTCCTGGGGATGAACATGAACATAACGATGAACATCACGATGAACATAACGATGAACATATATGAACATGGTGAATTTTTGGAAGCTGTTTTGTTGACTCCTCGAAGTAAACCACCAAAACTTATCAAAACTGAAATTCTATGAGCATCTTTCACCAGCACTGATGGATTAATGATGTTTGAATCTGGATGACCTGTAGGATCATGGAGTTTCAGTCGCACATCAATACTACGATCCAATTGGACCAGTGCAGGCAGATCTGCTGGAGTTTGTGCTGTCTGAATCTGCAAATCAGGGATGGCACAACAGACCATGAAGAACGCAGCCAACGCCACAGGCACCACCAGCTGACCAGTTTGATGTGAGGCCCACCACTTCTGAATTGGCTGCTGGATGCAGTTGGCGATGATGTAGGAGGAAGAATAGAGAAAAATCAGGAAGACGAGCAAGTTTACTTGTCCCACTTGTGGCCAGAAACCGTACAGCAAGAACTGAAAAATGTACACCTTGGCACAATATGGCACAATGCATTCTTCGCCCCTGCATGTTCCCCGGGCTTCTGCACCATGGGCACTTCTCCCCTTTCACCCAAACTACCAGACCCACTAGACCCACCAGACCCAGCAGACCCAGCTGCTGTATAGGAATACTTTTCCAAAAAGTCCATCTTGGAGAAGCCATAAGAGAAGAATGGCAGTGGAAGACTAGGAAGTCCCGCCAAGCCAAACAGAATCATGGCTTGGAAGGGCAACAAGACCTCGGAGAACCCGACCCCGTGGAATCTGAAGATTCAATGACATCGTCACTAGAGTTTAGTCAGCTGAGGAACTTCATGATCTTCATGTACCAGCTATGGAAATGGATGAACTGATGATGAAGCTGGTATTTGTCCAGCGATGTCCGTGGAATTCTGCCCTCGCAGCTGAGGCACCGAAACCCTGGCAGCTAATTTGTATCCCCAAGCCTTCGCATGAAACGTCTGGATGGTAAAGATCAAGAGTAACGCCTCGGGAGTGCCAGCCATGTGAGGGGTACCCAGTTATTTACATTTTGTCCTATGTATATATAATATATATATATATATTATTCTAGATTATTCTAGAATAATTCTATTATATGATTTAGTATGTACTTATCAGCTTGGATCTTTCCCAAACCCACAACTCCAGAGCCAAACATTTCATCCTTGCTGAAGCCTCTCCCAAGACACCAAATACCCACAAGGCGCCACAAACTGCAACACGATAACATAAGGATTTCGCCAGGAGAAACAACCTTCCTTGCAGGCCCTAGCGTGCTGATCCAACAGTTGCCGCAACTTTGCCAGCAACATCCCCAGCAAAAATACCTGGCAAATGGGCGCCGGTCCATGAATGAGGACAAACAGTAGTGCGTCTTTATGCATCTTTCTGTTTTCATAGAGGTTGTACATGACATCTGTACAGACAACTTATGGCAGTAGAGATGTCGTACTATGAATTCATTACTTGGAAAGAATGCCCTCAAGTCAAGGTAATGACATGAATAACAAAAACATGCTGACAACTCTGGAAATACAGCTCATGCCGGCGCAAGAAATGTTGGGAGAGAACATATATCTGGATCAACTCGTTGTACACACCAAAAAAAACTTTTATTTGTGCAAAACGTTCTGAATATCAAAATGTTGAACCATTCTGCATTCTGTACAAGATGTACAAGGTATTAACATGCACGGTTATAGTGCCGGAATTTAGCCCCTGACAGTCGGACAAATACAGCCCTAGCGATGTTAGACGCAAAAGGCACAGCCCCATTAAAATCCAAAAATGTGAGCTCCAATTATTTGAAGTTTCTAAGCATTCTAGCTGGAATACACAACTTTCGTTTAAAAAAAATGAGGACAGCGAGAATCCAAACATGAAGAATCTAACGACAGAAGTGGACCTGGAAAACCTGACAAAGTTCACAAGAGGACTGGGAGCCCATTGCCCAAGGCACATGAAAGTAGCAAAAGGGATGGTACTTCAACATCACAACACCAAAGTCCAAGAATGTGTCCGTTTCGTAGAAGTCATGTTCCTGTTCAGGATATGGAGATGAGATTTGGCCCAACAGGGAGTAGCGGTGACACCTGAAAAGGCGTTGTAAAGCATGAGGCCTGAAGAATTTCAGAACTGTTAAAACTGTTACTGTAAAATCTGTAAATGTTGAAGAGCAATGTACAGTAATTTGGCGCAGAGGTCCTTGTACCAATCCTCCTGGTCATGTAGCATTGCAGGGATCAGGATGATTAGCCAAGGAAGGGCGAAGAAGAAGCCCATCAACTGACACGTCTGCCTCAAATCTCAGTGAAATTTCGGACAAATGCAGCATCCCCTACTTGGGATGTGCATCCCACTAGTAAACTGGTAAGTGGTGTATAATAAAAGATAACAATATCATCCCATATAAATATTATACATATATATATACATATATATGGTGATGGTTCCATGTGTCTTTATATATACATACATACATACATACATACATACATTACATACATTACATACATTACATACATTACATACATTACATACATTACATACATTACATACATTACATACATTACATACATTACATGCATTACATGCATTACATGCATTACATGCATTACATGCATTACATGCATTACATGCATTACATGCATTACATGCATTACATGCATTACATGCATGACATGCATGACATGCATGACATGCATGACATGCATGACATGCATGACATGCATGACATGCATGACATGCATGACATGCATGACATGCATTACATGCATTACATGCATTACATGCATTACATGCATTACATGCATTACATGCATTACATGCATTACATGCATTACATGCATTACATGCATTACATGCATTACATTACATTACATTACATTACATTACATGCATTACATGCATTACATTCGTTACATGCGTTACATGCCTTACATGCCTTACATGCATTACATGCATTACATGCATTACATGCATTACATGCATTACATGCATTACATACATTACATGCATTACATACATTACATTACATTACATTACATGCATTACATGCATACAAGCCATAATGCATTACAACATTACTACATTACATAATTACTACCATTACGACCATTAAATACATTACAGACATTACATACATTACATACATTACATACATTACATTAATTACATACTTACATACATTAATACCTTACCTACTTACATACATGCATACATTGCATACATTGCATACATTGCATACATTGCATACATTGCATACATTGCATACATTGCATACATTGCATACATTGCATACATTACATACATTACATACATTACATACATTACGTACATTACGTACATTACGTACATTACGTACATTACGTACATTACGTACATTAGGTACATTAGGTACATTAGGTACATTAGGTACATTAGGTACATTAGGTACATTAGGTACATTAGGTACATTAGGTACATTAGGTACATTAGGTACATTAGGTACATTAGGTACATTAGGTACATTAGGTACATTAGGTACATTAGGTACATTACGTACATTACGTACATTACGTACATTACGTACATTACGTACATTACGTACATTACGTACATTACGTACATTACGTACATTACGTACATTACGTACATTACGTACATTACGTACATTACGTACATTAGGTACATTAGGTACATTAGGTACATTAGGTACATTAGGTACATTAGGTACATTAGGTACATTAGGTACATTAGGTACATTAGGTACATTAGGTACATTAGGTACATTAGGTACATTAGGTACATTAGGTACATTACGTACATTAGGTACATTACGTACATTAGGTACATTAGGTACATTAGGTACATTAGGTACATTAGGTACATTACGTACATTACGTACATTACGTACATTACGTACATTACGTACATTACGTACATTACGTACATTACGTACATTACGTACATTACGTACATTACGTACATTACGTACATTACGTACATTACGTACATTAGGTACATTAGGTACATTAGGTACATTAGGTACATTAGGTACATTAGGTACATTAGGTACATTAGGTACATTAGGTACATTAGGTACATTAGGTACATTAGGTACATTAGGTACATTAGGTACATTAGGTACATTACGTACATTAGGTACATTACGTACATTACGTACATTACGTACATTACGTACATTACGTACATTACGTACATTACGTACATTACGTACATTACGTACATTACGTACATTACGTACATTACGTACATTACGTACATTACGTACATTACATACATTACATACATTACATACATTACATACATTACATACATTACATACATTACATACATTACATACATTACATACATTACATACATTACATACATTACATACATTACGTACATTACGTACATTACGTACATTACGTACATTACGTACATTACGTACATTACGTACATTACGTACATTACGTACATTACGTACATTACGTACATTACGTACATTACGTACATTACGTACATTACATACATTACATACATTACATACATTACATACATTACATACTACATTTACATACATTACATACATTACATACATTACATACATTACATACATTACATACATTACATACATTACATACATTACATACATTACACATTACATACATTACATACATTACATACATTACATACATTACATACATTACATACATTACATACATTACATACATTACATACATTACATACATTACATACATTACATACATTACATACATTACATACATTACATACATTACATACATACATTACATACATTACATACATTACATACATTACATACATTACATACATTACATACATTACATACATTACATACATTACATACATTACATACATTACATACATTACATACATTACATACACACACAGAGACATACATACATACATACACACACACAGACATACATACATACATACATATATGATTGAGGGAGTGCCCATTTACTAAGTGCGGCACGCAACCGACCCATTTACCAAGTGCGACTCCGAGCCGCTTCAGCGTGAGATCCCTCAAGCGCAGCGATATGGGTTTGAAGAAGAACCAATAGACCACCAAACAGCCTCAGTCGATCTCAGTTGCTGCTCTGTTGCTGATCTGTTACGAGCGGATGAGTCTAAAATTGGAATTTACAGTCGTGAAAATTCGTGGAAACAAACTGACATGGCGCCAACAAAAAGGGAGGAGCTGCAAGGGACATCCAGTTCAATCCAAGAGGCTCAAGAACCAGCAGTGCATCTGGAGGGCATTTTCTGTAAAGAAAGGTACCCACGATTGGACCAGAAAGCTTTGTGCCAACAAAGTTGGCCACTCGGTGTAGATGTTTCCTCTGATCTTGCCAATAATGAAAGCCTTGGCATCTCTACATGTACAGTTGGCTTAAAAAGAAGTCTGTCATCACAGATACTGGTAACATCTGGTAACAACAATGGCTTCCAAGAGTAAAAAAACAATGCCACAAGTATGTCTATAAATTATATAAATGTCTAAACACTTGGGTTGATACCACAGAACTCGAGTTTCTCACATCAGCTCGACATGGAACCAGCAAAAGCGCAAATGCATATAGCGGATATATCGTCGTACTGCGTCGCAAGACGTACCTTAGCTGCCGTGTGAACTCGGATGCCTAACTCGTCGAGATCTTCCAAGTGCTTTCTAGCTTGGTGTAGGCCAAACATGATCGATCCCCAGAACGGAAATCTTATTCAAGAGTCAAAATGATTAAAGCCTATATGGATCCGGCCAACGGCCATGTTCAGTCACTTTGCCATATCCCGAACTCGTTCAAACGGGTGACTGTACCATAGTCTCCTCCTTAGGACCTTTCAAGAACGCCGAGAAAAGCACAAAGCCGCTGAGCATGAAGAACCAAGGCCTAAGGGCGATGGGCATCCGCCGATGCTGACGCCAACATGTCATTGGTCATCACGGAAAACACGGAAAACAGCCGCCAAGACACACCCATGTGAATCCCCAATGAAAGAAATATATTGGTGCAGCTACACCCCTGGCGAAGAGATGCCCCAGCACCACGTGGCTTGAAGCCATAAACCTCGGCATGCCCGATCCCATCGATCCCTGGAACCAGATGAGAGACACATTGATGGAAGAAAACGTGACGCCTTGACGCCTTTCAAGTACTTGAAAGAAATTCAAAGGATTTGAATCTTGAGAAGAGATTGAATGGCTGAGATCCAAAGCCACACACATCACACACTGTATAACAATGATTTTAACAATGTATAACACCTCTCACGGCACGAAAACCAGCCAAGGTGCCTGGCCAGACCCAAGGGGTACTTGTCTCCAGCTGCTGGTAGGTCAATCTCTTTGGATTCTTTCAAGGAATTCGTCTCCGAAGCGAGTGAAATCTCCACTTCTTTGGTGTTCTGAATCTCAGATGAATTCACCAGTGCCTCACTGGTGTTCACCGCTGTTTTACTGGATCTTCTGATGGCCCCATCCCCTCCACTCGTGCCACTCGTGTCATCAGTCGGAATTTCAGGAGCCACCGCAGTGCCACCTGGTGGGATCTCCAGCAAAGGTGCGATCGTTTGGTGGTCGCCACCCTGAAATTGTAATTCCCTGGGCGATTCCTGACGTTTGAATTCCGCCTCCACCTTTTTGCTTTGCTCGACTTTCTCTTGTCTGGACAACCAAGATTTCAATCCAATGGCCAGGAGCACGGTAAAAGCTGCCAATACCCAGTGCAGCTGATCACTACACCAAATCCGATGACACTGGTCTCCACTTGCAGATCTTTGCGCGAGGAACGATGACACATTCACTGGTTTGTCGCAAAGTCCTGTGGCTGTGCAAACTGATCGTTTTTGCATGTTTTTGCTTCTTACAGCATAAACTTTGAACTGCTTTGAAGTGTTCTGTTTCAATGATTCATGCAAAAGCTGAGACGTGTTTTCAGCATGACGGACCGCAGCAGCTTCCTAATCAATATTAGGTTTTTTGACAAGCTTAGCTTACAGTGACGCAACTGTACTTCACAACCCCAGAAACAGTAATAAGTCCTGGAGATTTTCCAAAGAAGAGTGGTGCTTCATTCCGAGCTCTGAAAGTGCACGGCACGCTGTTCATGCATTCCCATTTCTCACACGTGTGGCCGATAGAACATTTCTGGAAGTACTTGGGGCATTTCTGATAGCGGGCCTGACGTGCAAATCATTCAGAGTTGCGAAACTAAAGCAAGGAATCAGGGAGGTCTGCAAAGAAACCAAAAAGAGTGAAAGGATTTCTTTCAAATTCTTAAGAATCAGATGAGTTACAAATGTTACAGATGTTATTTCTGGATATTTCTGGCATATTCATCACAGAAGTTGCAACAATTTGTGGCACCTCCATACCAGTGCACATAGTACCATCCCAAGTCGCATATGGAGCGCTGGAGGCACTTTGCTCGGGGCAGAAGGTGTTCAACTGAACGATCCAACCCTTGGCGACTGACAAAACTGGGCGAAAACATTTCGAAATCCATCGGAAACTTGCCAGGCCGACTTTCCGACTTCTGCTTTTGGCTTGATCTCAATGTTCAGCTAGTGCTGAATGCTTACATTTACAATTCTTGTAGATCTGCGAGTACCAGTTGGTCAAACAGAGCGTGCAAACGGGCAACGGATGTCTCAACGGGGCTGGTTCTGATATACCCTGTCAACATCTGTCAACATCTGTCAACGTTCAAGTGGGTTGGCTCGAGATCCACAGCCCATTGCGCCAAGCTTCCCAAATGTTCAGCATCTGAGAAGCATGGTCTCCATAGACCTCCCCACGGCTCAACCGACACCACATCTATGACAAGCTGACGATGGAAACCACAGAAATTCCATCCATGGCACCATGGGTTACCATTAGATTTGATTTAGATATTAGATGGTTAGATTTGGCTCCAATCCAACTCTGTTAGACCCGACCTCCTCAGGCATTCCTTGGCCCAGCGCAAAAAAATCCACCAGGCGAAACTGTGGGGTCTTCAATTTCTCCATGGCCTGAAGTGACAGGCCATGGCCTAGCGGCTTGCGATGGGAGCAGTTCCTACTCTCTGGGACTGGTGCGAAGTGACACAGCAGCCAGGCAGGTCGAACTGTTTTTTGCCGCAGATGCACTGCAGATGAAAAACCTGCAACGTTTGAGATTCATTCCTTACCGGACCTACTCCGCACGAGATGCAAACCATTTCCATTGCCATCCCAAAGCACACTTCTGCATCCCATATCTCGGACATGTCGGACATGACATGACTACCCACTTGGCACAAATTCCTGGAACACTTCGGCAGTGACGTCTGCCACACTGCCGAGGTGTTCCAGCAAAACTTCTGCAAAGTGTGTAGGCCGCCGTCAAAACAAATCGCTGAAACCTCAGCGATGGCAAGTTGACCGCTGAAAGTTCCTTCGTTTCGATCCGCGTTGAGCCCTTCTTTGCGAAAGTCCACAGAACCCTGTCTCCAACAGATTCTACCGATAGAATCAGTAAATGACTCCACCACGTGTGCATGAGAGGTTGTACAAATGTTCGGAAGCTGTCAAATTGCAGGGGATAAACGCCAGTCACAGTTCCTGTCGCAAGAGAGCAATGTCTTGTAGCTTATCAGCTGCTCACAACTCCTGTGAAGGTCTTCAACTAAGTCCACCTTCTGATCGTTCACGGCGCTTTTGGGCCATGGCGCAAAAAGGTGAAGCAAGAGAGCAACCCTTTATCGATATATATATATATATATGTATATATATGTGGAGGGGACCTTTATGTATAGAATGACGGGGTTCTGAAACCACAATACTGGCACCTGCAGCTCACTTTTTTGGGAAACAAATGTTCTCACAAATGAACATGGGTCAAATTTTAAGACTTGAGGGATCACAGGTTTTTAGTTATTGTCAGGTGAAGGTCTCTAGACTTCTCCACAGCTTCTTGCCCTCCCCCCTCTCCACCTACAAAGGAGAAAGACGTAGAAAGGGGGTGAAGCAGGTGGAAAGTTGTGGGTGGAAGGGTAGGTGGAAGGGGTGGATACGGTTGGAGAGGTTGGGTGAAGATGATGCTAGGGTGATGCGAGGGTGGAGCGAGGTTGGAGCGATGGTGGAATGAAGGGTGGGGTGTGGAGAAGGTGATCAAAAATTGATACCAAGTACAAGGATACATCTACTGTATTTATTCACATCCTTTGCGCGATCCACTCCTTGGGATTCTCTTCTTCCCTTTTCACTTTCCAGCGGCTTTTTCTCTTCTCTCCCCCTCTCCACCCTTCTTCATGTCCATCTCCGCTCAATACCCTCATTCCTCTTTCCGAAAAGAATCTTAGGGGCAGAAAGTGTGGAGAGGAGTGAGCAGGGATGGAAAGCGGAGAGAATTAAATGAAGTTGGGGTGATGGGCGGGGTCACGATGAAGAGTTGGGCGGTGGGCGTAGCGAAAGGCAGATGGATGGAGAAAAAGAACATGTACATCAAATAGATGCAAGCAATTCATCCTGACTGCTTTCTTATCTAGCCGTTTCTTTCTTCAAAACTACTTTAAAGTTCAATTGTGATTGCCTTTTCCAGCTCCATCTTATATTTGCTTGCAAAGATCAAAATTAAAATGTATGTCTATTTTCTTTTTTGGACATACTTTTCAATGTGCATTGGAACAAGTCTCTTAAGACATGATTCAAAAGCAGCAGTGCCATTACAAAGCATAGGGTGGACTAAGGCATTTTGCCTCTCAGGCAATGTAAAAGTGCATGCTTTTCGTTGCTTTTTCTGTGAGGGGGGAGCGAGGGCGGAGCGAGGGTGGAGTGAAGGGTGAAATGAAGGGTGGAGTGAAGGGCTGAGAAGGTCGCCAAAAATTGATACAAACGATAAACGATGCATATTTATTTCGTTTTTTGCTTGATCCACTGCTTGTGCTCCTTCCCTTGCCTTTTCACTTCTCCGCAAACTTGTTCTCTTCCATCCCCCTCTCCACCCTTCTACATGTTCATCTCTGCCTCCACTCAACACCTGCATTCCTGTTCTGAAGATAAGGTGCTAGGGGACAAAGGGGTGAAGAGGAGTGAGCATGCATGGAAAGCGGAGAGGGTTAAATGAAGTTGGGGTGATGGGCAGGGTCGCGATGAAGGGTTGGGCGGTGGGGTGTAATGAAAGGCAAATGGGTGGAGAGAAACAAAAATACGATACATACATAAACAGTTCATCCGGAACGGAAAATGCAAAAAAAATGCAACTTCCAACTTGCGACGTTGCATTTTCTCCGCTGCATTTTTTTGCAACTTTGATCAATTTTTGTATTTGTTTTACGAAAAAAAAACGTAAAAAATGCAAACAAAAATGCAACGGCACCAAAACAAATGCAACGGAGAATGCGAAAAAATGCAACTTCCAAAGTTGCATTTTCTGAGTTGCATTTTTTTTGCAACTTGCGACGTCGCATTTTCTTAGCTGATTTTTTTCTTTTTCGAAACTTGCGACATTGCATTTTCTAATTTGCTTGTATTTGGAAAGCTCCTCCAACAAGCAACACATTTAGGGGCTGGCAAACTGAGAAAAATCTCACTCCCAACCCTGAGTCTCCAAAACTAGTAAATTAACTAATTTAGTAAATTTACTAAAAGGGAAGAATTTACGTATTTTTTTCTCCAGTTTTCTTGATGTTAGTAAATTTTGTGAAAAACCAAAAGTGCATCAAAAGTGTATCAAAAGTGCATCGACCGTGCATTTTTTTCTTAGCATGTTTGATTGAAATTGTGATTTTGTAACACAAACGCAGCAGCATTTTTTAGATTTAGTGAATGTTGTTTTAGTTCACAATGTGACAATCCAATTTTTCCATAACAAAGGATTGGTTTTGTCACATACTTGTATGTTTAATGGATATGGCCAAGTAAAGCCAGAATCTTTGCAAGTGACCAGTCACGTAAGGACTTTTTATAGATTGCCAAAAGTAAAGTCAATATTCTCAGCACAACCCATCTCAAGTAAATTCTCTGATGGAAACATGTCTACCCTAAGTCTCCAAAGCTAGTAATTTCACTAATTTAGCAATTTTACTGATCCAGAAGATTTTGCATAATTTTTTTTGTGGATTTTTGCAGAATTAGTAAAATGTAAAAAAAAGGAAACGTGCATCAAAAGTGCATCAAGAATGCGCCAAAAGATGTGTGATAGCTTTTCCGAATTTCCGTGAATCTGATAGTGGAGACAGAAGGAATGTTAAATGTTGTGAGGAATGTGAAGAAATTAGCATGTGGAACCTGTATAAGTTTATGTCCTTTGAGTCCTTTGCTGCAAAATGTAAATACCATGAAAGAAAAACAAAATTTCTCCCAGTGACTTCTCAGGTAAAAGTAGATGTTCTGAAGTAAAGTCATCTTCGCAAACGATTTCTGAAGAAAAAAAAATATGAAATAAATTCAATGTAATACATATTGAAGGTATATACTTGACGTTATTTTGGCTCGTTGGCTTTTGCGGTTTCTTTGTTTTTGCATTTTTTACTTTTGAGTTTATTTGCATGCTTTTGTGAGAGGAATTGACATATGTTTTCAACAAGTGTCCTAATTAGCCCTTTTTTGGGCTCTGAAAACAGTATTTCAGGACACTTGTTGAAACCTATTCTCCCACTATATCTACTTGATTTGTGTTTCACCACGTTTTCCATGACTGTCACGGTTCTGCCTCAACATACGTTCCATATGGTCACAAGATGCATGTTGCCCAGTATTTTTCTCAGCCAAATCTTCTCCACGCGGACCTCCAAAATAAAATAAACATAATAAAAAAATAAAAAATAAATAAAATAGATATTTATTTTATTTATTTTATTTATTAAAATTTGGAGCTCCTGAGAAAATAAATAAAATAAATAATATAAATATTTTTTATATTTATTTTTTTTATTTTCTCCGGAGCTCCAAATTTTAATAAATAAAATATAAAAAAAATATTTATTTTCTCAGCCAAATCTTCTCCACACAGACCTCCAAAATAAAATAAATAAAATAAAATAAATAAAATAAATAATTATTTTATTTATTTGATTTATTAAAATTTGGAGCTCCTGAGAAAATAAAAAATAAAAATAAAATAAATATTTAGTTTATTTATTTTATTAAAATTTGGAGCTCCAGAGAAAATAAATAAAATAAATAAAATAAATATTTATTTTATTTATTTTATTTATTTTTTTTATTTTATTTATTTTATTTATTAAAATTTGGAGCTCCGGAGAAAATAAATAAAAAAAATAAAATAAATATTTATTTTATTTATTTTATTTATTTTGTTTTGGAGGTCTGCGTGGAGAAGATTTGGCTAAGAAAATGAATATTTATTTTATTTATTTTATTTATTAAATTTTGAAGCTTCTGAGAAAATAAATAAAATAAATAAAATAAATATTTATTTTATTTATTTTATTTATTTCTCCGGAGCTCCAAATTTTATAAATAGAATAAATAAAAAAAAAAAAAAAAAAAAATATTTTATTTATTTTCTCAGGAGCTCCAAATTTTAATAAATAAAATAAATAAAATAAATATTTATTTATTTTATTTATTTTCTCAGAAGCTTCAAATTTTAATAAATAAAATAAATAAAATAAATATTTATTTTCTCAGCCAAATCTTCTCCACACAGACCTTCAAAAAAAATAAATAAAATAAATATAAATAAAATAAATAAAATAAATAATAAATATTTGATTTATTTTATTTATTAAAATTTGGAGCTCCTGAGAAAATAAATAAAATAAATAAAATAAATATTTATTTTATTTATTTTATTTATTTTATTTATTTTATTTATTTTATTTATTTTGTTTTGGAGGTCTGCGTGGAGAAGATTTGGCTTAAGAAAATAAATATTTATTTTATTTAATTTTATTTAATAAATTTTGAAGCTTCTGAGAAAATAAATAAAATAAATAAAATAAATATTTATTTTATTTATTTTATTTATGAAAATTTGGAGCTCCTGAGAAAAAAATAAAATAAATAAAATAAATATTTATTTTATTTATTTTACTTATTAAAATTTAGAGCTCCTGAGAAAATAAATAAAATAAATAAAATAAATATTTATTTTATTTATTTTATTTATTAAAATTTGGAGCTCCAGAGAAAATAAATAAAATAAATAAAATAAATATTTATTTTATTTATTTCATTTATTTTATTTATTTTATTTATTTTATTTTGGAGGTCTGCGTGGAGAAGATTTGGCTAAGAAAATAAATATTTATTTTATTTATTTTATTTAATAAATTTTGAAGCTTCTGAGAAAATAAATAAAATAAATAAAATAAATATTTATTTTATTTATTTTATTTATGAAAATTTGGAGCTCCTGAGAAAATAAATAAAATAAATAAAATAAATATTTATTTTATTTATTTTACTTATTAAAATTTAGAGCTCCTGAGAAAATAAATAAAATAAATAAAATAAATATTTATTTTATTTATTTTATTTATTAAAATTTGGAGCTCCAGAGAAAATAAATAAAATAAATAAAATAAATATTTATTTTATTTATTTCATTTATTTTATTTATTTTATTTATTTTATTTTGGAGGTCTGCGTGGAGAAGATTTGGCTGAGAAAATAAATATTTATTTTATTTGTTTTATTTATTAAAATTTGGAGCTCCTGAGAAATTAAATAAAATAAATAAAGTAAATAATTATTTTATTTATTTTATTTATTAAAATTTGGAGCTCCTGAGAAAAAAAATAAAATAAATAAAATAAATAAAATAAATATTTATTTTATTTATTTTATTTATCAAAATTTAGAGCTCCTGAGAAAATAAATAAAATAAATAAAATAAATAAAATAATTTTTTATTTTATTTTTTGTATTTATTAAAATGTGGAGCTCCGGAGAAAATAAATAAAATAAATAAATTGAATATTTATTTTATTGATTTTAATTATTTTATATATTTTATTTATTTTATTTATTTTATTTATTTTCTCAGCCATATCTTCTCCACACAGACCTTCAAAATAAAATAAATAAAATAAATAAAATAAATAAAATAACTAATTATTTTATTTATTAAAATTTGGAGCTCCTGAGAAAATAAATAAAATAAATAAAATAAATAAAATAAATATTTATTTTATTTATTTTATTTATTAAAACTTAGAGCTCCTGAGAAAATAAATAAAATAAATAAAATAAATATTTATTTTATTTATTTTATTTATTAAAATTTGGAGCTCCTGAGAAAATAAATAAAATAAATAAAATAAATATTTATTTTATTTATTTTATTTATTTTATTCATTCTATTTATTTTATTTATTTTATTTATTTTATTTTGGAGGTCTGCGTGGAGAAGATTTGGCTGAGAAAATAAATATTTATTTTATTTATTTTATTTATTAAAATTTAGAGCTCCTGAGAAAATACATAAAATAAACAAAATAAATATTTATTTTATTTATCAAAATTTAGAGCTCCTGAGAAAATAAATAAAATAAATAAAATATATATTTATTTTATTTATTAAAATTTAGAGCTCTAACTTAAAGGAAATTCAGAAGGAATCTTCAGCCGTCAAATAGTACAGAAAGGTCTCTCTAACGTATATATATATATATGTATATATATATATATGTATATATATGTATATATATATATATGTTATCAAAAGCCCTGCATCTTAAACTTTAACGGCTTAAGTGTCTTTCATAAAATCATTGATGTTGAAATTTCAAATATGTTCAAGTGAGAACAGCTCACATGGTGGCATGATGTTGAATGATCCCTTTTATGCCTTTTGTATGCTGGGCCATCTGGCTGAAATAAGCTTGAAAAATCACCCTTCAGAGGCAGCTTTGTAATTATCAATGACATGGCGACCTGCGATAGAAAGGCCGATCTGAACAATAAATGTGATCATCTGAATAACATCCCACCAACTCGTTCACCCCTCCAACTTGCTGCAACTTGCCGCAACTTGCAGCCTGAAGGATGAAGTGGTTCAAGTGCTCAAAGACCTTCTTATCGCGAGGACCGTTGGTGTAGGAAATGGTCTGGACGTTGCAACCCAGTTGTGCTCGGCCGCTACAGAAGGACTGCAACCGTCCCAAGCTCTCCTCTAATTCTGCCTCTGCGGCTGGGGAATCATCGATCCCATTGGGCCAAGAATCCAAAAAATCATTCACTGGCCCAATATTCACTGGACGGGATGGAAAATTTCACCATTTAATTTATATAGTATCCACAATAAGTATTTGCACAATTTCAATTATCATGAATGTATGATGGGGGTACTAGATTTTTGATTGTTGTCCTGGGTACAGTTTGTAGTTGACCCGGCCTTAAAGAGTTCCCCTCCTTCTGCAAAAATGTCATAGGCCAGCAACTCCTTCCTTCAGCAAAGGCTCACCCTAAAACAACACAGCTTGAGGGTTGAGGTTTCTAGTGGATGCGATAATGTTGGTTGTCAGGGATGCGTTTTGGTTTAAAAAAAAAACGTCTTTTCTATTCTTTTCTACTACTTGAGGCCCAAGGGGTGGGTGAACGAAAGCTAAGGTTCATATGAGCCTGGAAACACCATGGGATTTTGATGGGAGTTGGATATGCTGAATACAGATGAGCCCTGGAAGGATTTGGGCTGTGACCATCTGCTTCCAAGACCGCCCCAAAATGCCCCGGGAGCTTGGGGGGGTTCGAGTGAAAAATCACTGTGTTGGACTCAGACCTGCCCCTCCCCTTGAAGCAAGAGTAACTCCAGCTAGCTAACTACCCGGTGCCTCCCCAGCCCCTCGGCCTTGGACAATACTGGAACTTCATGAAGCAACAATTCTTGTACCAGGCACCGATCTGCGTCACCAGCCCAAAGTGTGCCATTTTCCAAACAGTATCTTCTTCGATAAGTTGCAGGGCCAACTCTGTGCGTTTCCAAAAGAACGAAGTGAAAAATGTCAGTCGGATTGACTGCGAATCATGCGCCGGAACCTTGCTGAACATGTCCTTGGGACGTGTGTCGCAGGACTCAAAAATTCTCATCCGTCCATTGTATGTCAAGCCAGTAGCGCTGGTTTTAGACACCATACCGGGATGATTTATTGTTCTTGAATTCCAAAAAAACGACTCCAGTATTGACATGTATTGACCGCTGCAAAGCTAAGAAATAGATCCAAGACACTCAACATGGTCTAGTTTTCACTTTCGGGATCGTTGTGCAGGAGGGAACGTCACGGATTAGATGTTGTGCAAACAAAGGAAAAAAAACAAACATGGAAGCTCCATGCATACCATAGGATGGAATCAACCAAGACCCCCATGCGGGGCTCCAGGTTGGGAAACCGTTTAGAAGGAAGCGGAAGCATCAAAGGGTGGCACAAAGTAGCTGAAAACAAGGAGAAACGAAACACAACATGAAGCTGCAAAACAAATGGCGGAAAGCTGTGAATAGAAAGAGGGAGGGAGCCATCGGGATGTATATTCGAAAAAGAAGGGAGGACATGTCACTGTGATGATCTGTGCACTGCGTGTCCAAAGAGACCATCACCGGTGTACAATCCAATTCATGCAATCTCGCGTTTCCTCATTTGCTTGGCAGCTGTGACCCTGCTTAATAGCAAGCAATTGCAGGGCTGTAAAAACAGCTATCTTAATCTCTCGCAAAAAACGGAGGACAAAAAGAAAACACAGAGAGCAGCAGTGGCCAATTGATCAAAAATCAACATGATTGGCCTCAGGTGACCCTGCCAAAGCAAGAACAAGACTCCAGCTGCTGATATTGTGATTAGTCCACCGGAGAATATCTCAGTAGAGGGTAGAACTGGCAGAATGTGAAAATGATTTGAATCGCCGACCATCCACCAAGCTGCTTGAGGAGAAGGTTTCGGTCAGCTTGAATCAAGCCCTAAGCTCGTATGTATGCAAATGTCTCTATATTATTCTATATTAATATACATAACAAACATATCTACATAATATAATATGTATCATATATACATAAAAGTTACAATTATTTGAACATATGCAGTATATAAATAAAGTCCATCCAACAACTGTCAATTCCCTGGGCCCAGGCTCTTGTATCAGTTGCCGACACTCTGGCCACCGTTCGGCCTCCTCCTTCAAGTCCACTTGGCGGCAGGGGTGCGCATGGTTGCTGACCGTATCCCAATGCGTGACCTGGCGACTTTGTCGTCGATTAGAGATTGGAGAAGTCCACTGCAGTCCTAATAGTCCTACAGATCCTACAAATGTCTACCAAGGCATGCCAGATATGCCGCTGCCAGCCCAATCCTATTCCATCTATTCCATCTATTCCACATTTCGGCCCCGGCTGGGCCCACACCTTCCCATCCACAATGACCACATCCACCACGGCAGAGACACCAATCAACTCACCTGTACGGTCCACGAAATATTCGCCCGGGGCCAAGAAATTGACCAAGTTGTTGAACCTCACGCGCTTCCAACAGCGCCCGGTTTCACCGTCGCTAAAGGTAGTTACAGACTGATCAAATTGGTTGGATGAACTTTGCACCAGAGAGCCATGTTAGAATGGCAAGGATCATTCAACTGGAAAGGCAGCTTACAGACCTTGGAAACCTGTGGAAACCTGGATGATCAAATGCGGCCCAGTGACTGCAGAAGTGCATTGGAAGAACCCGTGACTGCGATCCAGTTGCCCTTGAGGCATGACGCAGCATTGGATTTCTCAAACAATCTATAACGGCAGCCTGCATCTAACATCAGATTTCCCTGGGACAGAAAGCCCGCCACAGGCGTGTTGGGTGAATGCATCTCGCACAGAGGTCGCTCCACCATGCCGCCACGGCCGATGGACAGCCAAGCCAACCATGTACGCCACATGTGCCACATGTTGCGTCCGAAATGATTTTGCTTCAAGATCCCTAAAGAAACTGCAAGTGAAAAAAATCAGTTCGTTTATCCAACTTCAGAACATCTGGCTCAGTTTCACCATGTTTCACGGAAAGTTTCACCACCTGGGCACCTGTACAGCCGACCGGAAACGTGGGGGCTGGAAACTTGAGAAAAATCGGCGAAAATCGAAAGGCATCCAATGATTCCAAAGATCTCTGGCTCACATGGTGGACCATCCTTTCGGCTCACATGAAACATTGACAGAAACTGTATCGAAGTGCTCTGAGTATGAATGATATTGAATGATACCCTGGCTCCCAGCCCTCAAGTCATCCTTGTGGAGAGTATGTCCTGACCACGACTAAAATCCAAATCCCCCACGACAAACTCTTGGAGCCTACCACCACAAACATTGAAACCCCAACCACAACAACTGGCGGCACAAATGCCCGATTGACGTTTGCTACCGTAATCGCCGTAATCCTTAGTCCGAAGCATCTCCATTCGCTGTATATTCTTTGAGAACCACATCGTCAAACGGATGGCCAAATCGATGATCAATCTTCCAAATGATGTATCAATGCCCGTGGACCTTCATCAATCGTATGTGAATTGTGCAAGCCGGTGGCGCGTGGATGGATCCTGGATCAACTTTTACAGATTGTGTATGAATGTAATGTTTACACGGTTCTCCATCCCGTTAAATACCAATAAACAAACAAAACATCAAAACATCACTAGTCCATACCGGTCCTCTCATCATCCTTTTATCTTCTTTCGCAATGACTGCAGGGGACTGCACGGATGAATGAAATTACCGCACTCCCCTCGTTTCGAGGGGCCCACATGAGTTTCACTATCAACGCAGTGCTCGGCTGGCAGCACGTGACACGGCATGGCGCTCACCTACCCGAAAATTACATCCTTTGCCTTTGACAGGGACAGCCAAGAAGCACCATCGCCACAAACACACAAACAATGGCAGAAGTCTGCCAGCCGCGGCTCACTTTGTTGTCGCCGTACGTCCGGCTGGAGCTGCGCCCGCATCTGCGCTGCAGTCTGCGCCTTGGATTTGGAAACCCGATTCAGGTTGCACATGACGGATTCTCACGCGGTGCTATGGAAAAAATGAAATTCCAGATATTTCCAAGTGCTTTTCCTACCCTCAAATGACATAGGACTTGCAAAAGTATCTTGGGGTCTACATAGACAACTCCCATGTCCTTTGCTCTTCTTGGTTCTCTAGAACCTTTGACGAGTCGTATGTCATCTGTTGCAGGGTACATCCAACATTCCAAAAACGACATCATCGGGTTCCTCTTAAAAACTCCATTTTCAGTCCCAAGTGATTGAAACGTAAGGGGACACTCCCACGTCATGTGGAAAGAAGGTCTCCTTCGCAGAAGATGTTCCTTGTTAGATCAGTAGAGATTTCTGTCCAACATATATTTAAAAAGTTTCAAGCCATTCGCCTCTGGGGAGCACATGTGGTCCAAGGATGTCCAAGGTTTATTTTACAACGTACTCCCAGGTCGTTGGTTATTTGATTCGCAATGGAACTCATTATGTCCAAAACACCCCAAAACACCTCACAACTCCTGAGTCATCATGTGCTTACAAGGCTTACAACAACTACACAGCTCAAAACTTTTTGACGATGTTCTGGAAATAGTCCCAAGTCATCACCACCGAACCTTTGTTTTTTCTTGAATGGACGAGGACCCAAGCTTTGGTTTTCCAGTGACAAAGTTGTTCCGGGGACACCTGGAATGGTTGGAATGTTGGAGGTGTCCTCCTTGGAAGATCAATATTTTGCGCATCACCAACTCCCATGACATGCGCCAGATAGATGGATAAATACCATAAATTGAGATCATATCCAAATATATCCAACACATTACAAGCAAATCGTCCAAGAAACTTTCCATCATGTGTTGCAAAAGTCAAAGATCTCCCTTCAGGCTCTTGCAACTTAGTTGCCAAAGCCTGAAAGAAGATCTTTGACAATAGCAGTGCCTTCGTCCTGCAATGGCAGCGAACAATAAAATGTCATGACTACCTGGGCCTGCAAAGGACAATAAAATACACACCCACACACCATACTGTAGGATAGAATACTGTACGTCCACTTATATATACAATAGTTGATATATCCCAACATATACTGTACTGTGCTGTGGGATACACATCTAAATGGAATATCATCCCCTCAACCTTTGATCAAAACGCGTTTCTTCTGACCACTGCTCGCTGCAGGGCACGTATCAAAACGGTCAATATGGTCAATATGATCTTGACAGCAAAGCAACTCTCTTACTCAATGCCATCGAAGGTCCCCCAACGTTGCAGTCAAGTGTCATTCCCGCATGGAACTACGTCCCCCAACTGCTAGGAAAAGTCACCCCAACTTCTTCGCCCATTGTAAACGCAAGATTTTGGATCGGGCGGGGTGAGTTCACTATAATCGAGTAGCTTGAGATTTGCCTGACCCAACGAGTCTCACGTTCATATCAATATCCTTGTGCAAGAACTTCACAGCTGCAAGCAACTTTGCGAAGAACTCCTGCAAGACCCAAAGTTCTAACACCACAGATTTAAACAAAGGTGCCGTTTCCGTTTCCATAAGCAATCGAAAACATCAGCATACATGGAGGCCATCACTACACAGTCTCTCCAACTCTGGCAGTAACACAAAAGTTCAAGCCCAACCCTTCCCAGCTGCCTCGGCTTCTGGGACCCACGTGCGCTTCTTTGCGCAGCCGACGCGAAAGGGCCCAAGCCACCTCACCAAATTTCAGAGGAAGATTTGTTGAGAATTCGAAATGTCGTTTCCCATGGGACTGCTACATGTCCTCGCAGCGAGAGCGTGGGGACCAAAGAAGGACACAGGTTTGAAACACACGGCGAAGAGCAGATCTGGCACATGTCGACAGGTAGCCATCAAACAGCAAAGCGTTCAGGAAGGAACAGACTCCGTGGATGCCACGCCCTGCCCAGGAAAACTTCAAAAAGGAGGAATGCAACACGTCTGTTAGAAGCTGCTCTGAAAGCTGCGAGATCAGCACATATCCGGAAACAACTTTAGACACGATTCTACATAAGTTTAGATCCCAAGTGTCACTTGCCAAGTGTACAGTATTATTCAAGTGTACAATTGCTGTGATCTTTTGCTTCCCTTGCCAAGTACTTGACATGATGTGGTTGACGATGGGACAACTATTTTTTACCCCGACCATTCGTCCGCAAACATCGTTGAACTCACGGGACATGAAATTGAGAATTCACACGTCCTCTCAGAGGGGCTCATGGAGATGTATAGATTTCATGGCTTCATGATGAACCCTTGGCTTGTTGGGTTGGATTGGCCAGAAGAACTATCGGACATGGGAGATCTTCAACATCAACATGAACAGCAGCAATTTTCTGCTTTGGCCATGCTTGGCCATGCGGGCCGTGTCAAAATGTCGATGCTGCCAGTATCTTTGCCGGGCAGGACCTCAGTGTCAAAAATGTCACTGGCACACAGCCAGAGAAGCCGCAAGTGAGCTTGTTCAAAAGCCTGTGTCGGAAGAGTCAGTTTTAGAGGATTTCCGAAAGCCTGCAAAGGGCATCCTATCTTTGAGACACTCCTGCATTCCAAGCGCAAACCTATGCCAAAACCTTCCAACCAGGTGGTTCATGGTCGTGCAGACTTTCTCTTTGCAAACCTTCGATCATATCCAGGTCTGTAGCCTTTGCACGTTTTGCAGGTGTAGTGCGGGTTGGTCAGCAGTTGGTATACAGCCTTCTGCCTCAGAGTCGTCTTCTTGAAACCGATCATAGCACTGCAGTTGGTGCAGAGGTGTGGATGAAAGACTATTGGATAGTCAGCAGCCCAAATCTTTTGTTTCCCGCGACAGCGCAAGAACAGATAGTTCAAACCTGCAAAAACGAAGTCGTTGTCATCGCCGTCCAAATTTGGAGCTTCTCCCCAACAGCAGTTTGGTCTTTCAGGAGGACGGAGCATCTTAGCTGATAAAGGAGCAGGACATCCGGAAATTTGGGAACCCAAAACATAAACCTAAAAGACATAGCATGTGAGTCGACCACACAAGATATGCTCAATGCCAAGCGACATCAGGAAGTTTCTCCACCGGAACATTGGGGTAATACAGTCTACCACGAAGGTCGACCAAATTCCTAGGATCTGTAGGATAAACGCCTGCCGCTCGAAAGCAAGCACTTAAAGCAGTCTGGTAAAACGACTGCCCGGTATTTGGATCGAATGGTCTGCATTCGCCACTTAACGGAGGTCGTTCCCATTGAAAGTAGTACGGATGCTCATGGATCGGCAGCTGCCTGCGGTGTCTCAAGACAAACCAACTGAAGAATTGCCCCAGTTGTTGCAGGGCAAAGGCGCTCAAACAACTTCCGCTGTTGGGTTCGATTTGGATGCCGTTGTACAAATGATTCGCAAGGACCTCGTGTCCCAACCAATGGCTGTCTTTGGGGGAGAGCTGCAACAAGGACACCAAACGACGGAAGTTGGCGGCCACGAAGTAGACATCCGTTTCCACCAAACAGGTCCTCCATTGACAAAACTCAACAAGGACAACAGGTTGGAAACGATGCTTATTCTCCGACAAAATCATGACCTCTATCTTGGTATGTCAAAACTAAAACCTCATCCAGCAAGGACCACAAATCCCATCACAATTCCAAAACATATCCGCCGACCCCGCTTGCAGCAGGGGGAGCATGTCAGAGGAGCAATTGCCAGCAGCAAGGGGCAAGAAGCAAGAAGCAAGAAGCAGAAGAAGAAGAAGAAGAGGAAGAGGAAGAAGCTTGAAGGCTGCAATTTGGATTTGGAGCTAGTGTATTACCAGCAGCAAGGGGCAAGAAGTTTTTGAGTCTCTAGGGGCAAGTTTGGGAGGCTTGAAGGCTGCAATTTGGAGCTTGTTTTCGTGTCGTTTCAGAAAGCGACATTACGCAGAGGCAGCCGCAGGCCGAAGGCCTGGTCTGTCCCTCCGTGGCATGGTGTTTCGCTGTGGCGAAGCGAACGTTTGGGGTGCTTGAAGGCTGCAATTTGGAGCTGGCTTCTGTCGGTTCAGGAAGCGACGTTAGGCAGAGGCAGCCGCAGGCCGAAGGCCTGGTCCGCCCTTCAGTGGCATGGCGTTGTAGTGTAGGCACCTTCCGGCCTTCACTGGCACGCTGTTTCAGTGTGGCGACACCAGCCTTTTTTAGGCGGTCGGCCGGCCACAATTTGGAGCTAGTTTCTAGCCGCTTCCGCGTTTTAGGCGGTCGGACGGCCATAATTTGGAGCATGGTGTTTCGCTGAAGCTGCTTTGACTTCCACTCCAAAAATTGTAGAGTTTGGCACATCTACGGCCTCGGCCTTTGTTCAATGGATCTTAGATCAAGCTTTATCTGCCCAGTACGTGAGACAGCTCACTTTTTTGGAGTTATTCATCGTATTTCATTTTGAGGTTGGGATGGTTCTTCCTATTCAGGTTGGGGTCAGGCGTGGTTCTTTTCGATGGCTTCCAGTTGAAAACTCCAATGCTGGGGCACTCTTAGGTAGAACTTTGGGATCGCAGACTGGTGTGATTGAGTGGCTTGTTAAGAATGTTTTTGGTCATTGGGGTGGTTTTGATGTTGGTTTGGTGATGGTCTCTCGGCCATGCGCTGCTATCCATCTACCATTGAGGGGATGTACCCTGCCTGTTTCTGACAGTACAGTTTGGCAAGGGCATTTCCTTAATATGTTTGGGTTCACCCAATTTGCCCATGCAGCTCTGTTGGCTGACCGAGCTCGTGGATGCGGAGAGACTTCTCGGCTGAGCGGAATAATATCAACCCCAAAATCGATTACCATGCCATGATAGTCTCCATTTTTTGGAGACTATATAAAACTCATATTTTAATTATCAAGTCAATCAAATCTACACAAAGTCACCATCCAGCAAGGGTTGGGGGCCCGCAATGAGGCCTACTGATCCTCACAAACCATGCCCAACACCCCACAAAGTCCAATCCTCCTTTCGCGAGCTGTTCTTCCATTTTGGGCACACCTGGCGTGGCTAGTGCTGTCGAAATCTCCACTTGACAGCCATGGACAGCGGGCCTCCTCCGGCTTCTCTTCCAAGTGCGACTTCTGGCAACGGGCGGGCCCCCACAAGAAGTCAGAACGCGTGCCGATGAAAGCAACCGTTCGATAAACATGTCACAGTAGATGTTGTGTCAAAACACAGAATGTCAGACTGCTAGAGCACGTGTCACATGGAAGTAAATGCCAAGTGAAACTGTCCAAAAAATATCAGGCAAAGATGTCAGAAAGATATGGAAATGCCAGATGAAGATGTCAGAAAAGGGCAAATGAAATTTCAAACCCAATCTCAGTTTAAAAGCCGGGAATCAAACATAGGACATATATCTGGGTGAAGGCTCAGTCCCACGTTCACTTAGGATGAAGGCTCCATAAAGTGTTTTCATTGGAGAAAGATCGTTTTGGGGATTGTTTTTGCCTAGCCCAAGAGTGTTCAAACTATCCAGGCTTGAAATGCCTGCAAACGCCTTGAGCCGTCGTGCTACATTTTTATGCGCTGAACACATGCGTTTCTCTTGCATTGTTGGCTTGCGACGCTGGGCTCATTCGGCACTTCATCTGACATGTTTTTCCCCACCTGCCAGGTGAGGGTTGTTAGATTTTATGTCAGTTGCCTCCTCCTCCTCCTCCTTCTCCTCCTTCTCCTCCTCCTCCTCTCCTCCTCCTCCTCCTCCTCGTCCTCCTCGTCGTCCTCGTCGTCCTCGTCGTCCTCGTCGTCCTTGCTCAACTGCGACCCGCGATCCACAGTGTTCTCTGCCGGACCTCAACCACGACCATCCACGCCCAGTGTTCCCTGCCGGACCTCAACCACGACCATCCACGCCCAATGTTCCCTGCCGGACCTCAACCACGACCATCCTCGCCCAGTGTTCCCTGCCGGACCTCAACCACGACCATCCACGCCCAGTGTTCCCTGGCCGGACCTCAACCGCGAGTATCCACGCCAAGTGTTCCCTGCCGGACCTCATGTAGGAAGATATGGGACAAAGAATGTGCAGAAGAAAGTGAGAAAAAATTTCAGAAAGAATGTCAGAAGATATGCCAGAAGATATGCCAGAAGATATGCCAGATAGAATGCCAGATAATATGCCAGAAGATATGCCAGATAGAATGCCAGAAGATTTGCCAGATAGAATGCCAGAAAATATGCCAGAAGATATGCCAGATAGATATGTCAGAAGATATGCCAGAAGATATGCCAGAAGATATGCCAGAAGATATTTCAGAATATATGCCAGAAGATATGTCAGATAGAATGCCAGAAGATATGTCAGAATATATGCCAGAAGATATGCCAGATAGAATGTCAGATTGAATGCCAGAAGATATGTCAGATAGAGTGCCAGAAGATATGCCAGATAGAATGCCAGAAGATTTGCCAGATAGAATGCCAGAAGATATGCCAGAAGATATGCAAAATCATATGCCAGAAGATATGCCAGATAGAATGCCAAATAGAATGTCAGAAGATATGTCAGATAGAATGCCAGAAGATTTGCCAGTAAGAAAATGTATAAATGTCATGGTGGGGATCACACGAAGTAAAGTAATTTGTGACGTGCGATCTGGCATGTATTCTTTATTCTGACATGTCCTTGTGAGGCACCTTGACGCGCTCTTCAAAGGGACGAGTGGGCGGTGGAAAGTACCTGGACGAAATGAATGTCAGAATGGAGAACATGGTCATGGACTAGTTTCACAAGAAACATGGAGGAGAAGGAGGGTCACGCTTCAATGGGAGCATACTTCCACCGGCCACTCTTCTTCACCAGGAGCCCCTGTGCAAGCATGTCATTTGCATACCTTAGGGTGATCAGGCTGTCGGCAAACTGACTGTTTTCTTATCGTGATTGCCACCACTGGCCGCACAAGGAATGAAAAGTTCTACGTTCAATGCCAGTCTTCATCTGGGGCAAACACCAAGCCGCCATGGTGGAAGAAGGAAATGGCCCCTGGCTTTGGTTCGAAGAAAACATGGACTGCGTCGCAACATTGATATTAACCGATTCACACTGCCTTCCAAACCAAAGAGCCAGAAATGCTGTAGCTCAATACAGAATGAGAAAGAAACACATTGAATTGAATTTGAATGCTTTCAAATATCGGCTACTGCAGCACGGTTTTAACCAGAATTGCTCCTAAAGCCAGCAAACTGAAAGCATCGTTTCACAAGGTGGCTTCGCCTGTGGGTTGGCTTCCGAGTCCAGATATTCCCATTCGTCCTTGCAGGGTGGTGTTGATCAGTTTTGATGCAGTTATGCCAAAATCTGCGACTTATGATGTTTGATGCAGCTGGTGTTGCGGAATATTCAACGATTTTTTCAAATAGAAGTTGCCAATTTAGGGCGCCCGGAGCCATTTCAAATAGAAGTTGGCGCAAAGGCACCAGGTTGCTCTTGGACTGTAAATTTGCCTGTAAAATCGGTCAATTGGAATCTGGACTGGAATTGCCAAATTTTGTGGTAGAGGGTTTTACAGTCAAACTGGACAAATATACGCATGCTGCGTCAAGTTAGAGCGTAATATCGAACAACAGGCTACGACAGCGGTGCCTAGATCTTATTCCCCACATCTTTGTGTGGGGTTCTTGTTTTTGGTTGTGCACTCCCGTCTGCTCCTCCCGCCGTCTCTCCCGTCCGCTCCTCCCGCCGTCTCCCTCTCTCTCACACACAACTTACTCACTCACACACACACACAACTTGTTCACACACGACTTACTCACATACAACATACTCACACAACTTTCTCACACACACAACTTAATCACACAGAACATACACATCACGCACAACTATCTCACACACAACATACTCACACACACACACAACATACTCATACAAAGCATACTCACACACACACAACTTTCTCACACACAACATATTCACACACAACTTACTAACACACAACTTGGCACTTGGTGACATCGACCTTCACTTTGTGTGGCAGGCGTGTTACTTGGCGACATCGACGTGCAGTCTGCATGGCAGGCAAGACACTTATGGCACTGGGCTGGCTCTGGTGGCGCGCTTGGTTCCCGTTTGGCGAGGTTGTCGCCGCAGCTGTTTGTGTGGCTGGCGTGGCGCTTGGCGACATCGAAGGCGTGGCACTTATGGCACTGGGCTGGCTCTGGTGGCGCGCTTGGTTCCCGTGGCGCCTTTGTCGTCGCAGCTGTTTGTGTGGCAGCGTGGCGCTTGGCAACAACGACCTTCACTTTGTCGACCTGCATTCTGCGTGGTAGGCGTGGCACTTATGGCACTGGGCTGGCTCTGGTGGCGCGCTTGGTTCCCGTTGGCGCCGTTGTCACCGCGGCTGTTTGTGTGGCAGGCGTGGCGCTGGGCGACATCGACCTTCACTTTGTGTGGCAGGTGTGGCACTTGGCGACATCGACCTGTATCCTTCGTGGCAGGCGTAGCACTTATGTCACTGGGCTGGCTCTGGTGGCGCGCTTGGTTCCTGTTTGTGTGGCAGCGTGGCACTTGGCGACATCGACCTTCACTTTGTGTGGCAATGCATTCTGCGTGGCAGGCGTGGCACTTATGGCACTGGGCTGGCTCTGGTGGCGCGCTTGGTTCCCGTTGGCGCCGTTGTCGCCGCGGCTGTTTGTGTGGCAGACGTGGCGCTTGGCAACATCGACCTTCACTTTGTGTGGCAGGCGTGGCACTTGGCGACATCAACCTATATCCTGCGTGGCAGGCGTGGCACTTATGGCACTGGGCTGGCTCTGGTGGCGCGCTTGGTTCCTGTTTGTACCCCTACTAGTGGTGCTGGCACGTCGGTTATGGCTACATTACATGATCACCCACCATTTATCCACAACACTTGTATTTACAACACTTTAACACACAATACGTTCTTACACCACACCTGTGCACACACACTTCTGTCCCACACAACTCTTTCACACACGATTCTTTGACACACACTTTCCCACGCATGTCTTGGACACACAACACTTTTACACCCACTCCTGTGGCGCACCACTCTTTCACCCACAGCACTTTCACACACGACTCTTTCACACACACTTGCTCAGAACAATCTTTGCGAATTCTGATGTGGAATGCATCTTTCGTGCAAAAACACTCCATAAAACCTGACAGGAAAAGTATGAAGACAAGATCAGAGAAGAATCTCGAAGTTTGTATTTCCACGTCCTTGCTAGATGCAAATCGTTCCCTCCCTGACATCAAGTTTGGTCTGAAAATTGTTTGGAAACGACATGCCGGTTCTTGGCTTAGCCGGTTGCCATTGACGAAAAACTGGAAAATTGCAGGTACGTTTTCACAGGAACATTGCAGCGTCTTCGTTGGCCGCTGCAAGGTTCCCCAGCGGCCCCCTGCTTGAAATGAAATGAGATAATGCCAACAAAAATCAGGGAAGTTTAACTCTTTTCCCGTGCCAGAAGAAAAATGAAGAAGGACCAGGTAAAATCGGAAGTAGAAGTTTTACATCTTTTCAGATGGTTCACACACACACACACCTCTCGCGGGAGGGTGGGAAATTTAAGGTCCGGACAATGAGATGAAAATGAAATTGAAAGGAAATGAAGGTGAGGTGAAGATGAAAATGAGATGAAAGTTACTTAACCAGGACGTGAAGAGGGGAACGCAAAAGAAGAGGGAAGGAGCAAACACCAACACAGGAAACCTGGCCCAAAGCGGGCAAACCCTGAAGGGCAAGGGAAAAGAAAAGCGGATGCCGACGGGCACAGAACAAGACCAGCGGAGGGGGGGGAGGACGGAAGCGCCTAAACCAACCTACCACAGCGAAACCTACGCCTACCTAAGCACGCGCAGAACCCAACCTACCTGTAGAGAGGAGAGAGGAGAACACATGAAATAGGGGACCCATGGGGGACTAGTTAATGAAATGATGCATCCACATGAAGTGCAATTGTCGTGATAAGGCTCAAGGCCCTCGGTATTCAAGTCAACCCCATGGACAGCTTACGTCGTCAACCCTTGAATTACGTGCACAATTGAACCTCACCAGAGTAACCAAAAGAAAGTGACCACACCTGTAAAGCATGTCCTATTGCCTGGCCAAAACATGACATGTGACAAATATGAAATCAGTCTGTCTCTCGAGCATTGCTGAAAAAAGGAGATTGTTGTCGCGGCTTCAGTCTACAAACCCTTGGAAGTTTGACAAAAATGGTGAGGCCAGTCACAGCGGCAGACTGTTTAACCAAAAGACGACCGACAGAGTGAAACCTGAAAGGTGAACGGCTGCTTCACTTTACTTAAACGAATTACTAAATTAAAATGTGTAAATTCAGACATCGGGTCGTTGCATCCACATTCTGCTTAGAAAAGCATTCCCCGAAGAGTTCAATGCCACCTTGACGAATCCAGCATGAATCACACACTTGCTCAGAACAATCTTTGCGAATTCTGATGTGGAATGCATCTTACGTGCAAAAACACTCCATTAAACCTGACAGGAAAAGTATGAAGACAAGGTCAGAGAAGAATCTCGAAGTTTGTATTTCCACGTTCTTGCTAGATGCAAATCGTTCCCTCCCTGACATCAAGTTTGGTCTGAAAATTGTTTGGAAACAACATGCCGGTTCTTGGCTTAGCCGGTTGCCATTGACGAAAAACTGGAAAATTGCAGTTACGTTTTCACAGGAACATTGCAGCGTCTTCGTTGGCCGCTGCAATGTTCCCCAGCGGCCCCCTGCTTGAAATGAAATGAGATAATGCCAACAAAAATCAGGGAAGTTTAACTCTTTTCCCGTGCCAGAAGAAAATGAAGAAGAACCAGGTAAAATCGGAAGTAGAAGTTTTACATCTTTTCAGATGGTTCACACTTGCTCAGAAACATCTTATCGAATTACTGATGTGGAATGCATCGTACGTGCAACAACACTTCAGTTATACCTGGCAGGAGAAAATGGATGACCCAACGTGAAAAACAGTGCGAAGTATGCTTTCTATGTCCTTGCTCGGAGGAATAAGTTGTTCTGATGCAGCACGTTCACCCTTTAGTGACATAGAAGATTCAGATTGCGAGAACCGTGCCAAACGAGAAAATGGAAATCAAGTTGTTTGAAAACGGCGAGGTGGTTCTTGGGTTAGCCACGACCCATTGCAGAAAATTGACATGAAAATGAAATTTGAAGCAGGTACGTCAAAGGGACGTCTCCCTTTGATATCACTGTGACTTCTGGCCGCCTTCGTTGGCACAGGAACCAGAGTCACACCTGCGCACTTCTGACCTAAGGTGCCTACAGTGTAGGCTGACTGTTGCAAGAATCCTCCTGCAATGCCAACAAACGCAGGCACCTGATAGATCCTCTGATTTGTAAGGTCATCATGGCCAGCTGGGAATGCGTACATCTCTGGATCGTATACAAGATTGATGCTGTACATCGTTCCAACAGCGACCAAATTTCTGTCTTCTTCACTCAAAATACCTGTCTTCCAGCCAACTGAGACTGCAAATCGAGGAAAGGGTTTCGATCAAAGGATGGCATGCCTTGCTTCCCATGACATAATCTGGGTCTACACTTGGTAGCACCACACGTGTGAACCTCACACCGTGATTGTCGAGATCTGATTGCTCAACTTCACCCATGTAGCCACGGAAATCAGCAAAGGCCCAAAGACCTAAGGCTGAACCATCGATTGATGCCATTCGCCTGAACATCTCGTCATAAGGCATGACTACACCTCCAAGGCTGCTTGGTCTGCAGACACTTGAAATCCCCTGCTGTAACCATGTTCAAACCAAAAAACAAGGATTAGAGTTCCAAACCAAGGCAAAAGAATTAGAAGTTTTTCATCTTTTCAGATGTTCCACACACACACATCACTTTTACACACCACACCTTTACACGCAATTCTTTCACCAACAACACTTTTACACGGAACACTTTCACACACCTCACTTCGACATGCATTTCTTACACACGCGGGTCCTCCACCATCTCTTTTCTCTTTCCTGCCTTTCCCATCCCATCTTCACCTTTCTTTCGCTACTATTGAGACTTTAATAATAAGCTTAAACGAGAATTATATAAATATTTTTTTATGTTTTTTTAATGATTTCCCTGTCGGAAAAATGGGAAATTTTCAGATATGATTTTTTTGTGGTTGAATTTATGATCTTTTTATGATGAAACTTATGATTTACTTTCACTTGGTTTGGAAGAAAAAAGTGGAAAACACACAAAAATTTAATCATAAAAAAACGTTAAAAAAAACAAAATAATAATAATGATAATAATATCACAAAAAATATGATTTTTGTGATGTTTATGACTTTTGATGATTTGCTTATGATTGTTTTATGATTTTTTATGTTTTCTGATTTTTAGGACCTTGGTTTTTAATATTGTCTTTATGATTTTTTATGATTGTTTTAATGATGTTTTTACGTTTTTTTATTGCATTAAGAATCATAAAGAGTCAAAAAGACTCAGCAAAAAAACAAAAACAAAGCAGTTAAAAATAAAATAAAAATGCCAGCACGAAAAAAACATTAAATCCAAGTCATATTTCTTCATTAAAAAACAAAAAATCCAAGTCATAAATTTAATCATATTAAAATCATGAAAGAAAAACAAAAATAAAATCATTTTTAACATAAGGCTCCCTTGCTACTTGTAAAGTCTCAACGCTACTAACTTATTGGAAGAAGTTGACATGTGGGGTTATCCGGTCCTTTATTTTTTTCAAAGGCCATGACGGTCTCCTTGAACGCATGGCTTGCAAGGCACATTGATGTACGCCTGCCAGTTATAAATACATCATAACGTCCGCTCCGCTGGGCATGATGTCGTGGCACCAGCTGCAGCTGAGGAATGAATTTCGGTCATTTTGGCAATCAGCTTTGCATATCACTGAAAATGGCGAGCACAGGCGGCCGCTCTGCACGTCAAAATGCCTAACTAAAGCCACGCTGTCTGGAGGGCGTGGTATTTACCCTGGAAGTACTTGACATTTATTATGCTTGGTGTTGTCGCACATTTCGAATCCAATGGCAGCAAGAATCTTGTCGCAGCCTGCCAGTGGGGCATTGGCATACTGCGCCTTGTCACATAGTTGAGATTTGCAGCAAATATAAGAGCTGGAGCACTTCTTCCAGCCAGACCTGCTTCAACTGTTGCACTCATGAGTTGCCTTTTCCGTGGCGCGCATCAAGGCGGAACGAAGTTACGCTCTTGATTTTGCACTAGTGGCTCTCACCTGCCCCAGCTTGCAAGTCCTTATGCCTGCAAAATTGTTGCTCACTGCAACTGAAACAAGTCCCATCCATCAAGGCACTCAGAGAAGCCTGCACGTCCACTGATCGCAGAATCATCTTTATTGCAGAAAAGAAATATCTGGAAAGGGTTTGGATGAGGAAATAACATCTGCAGCTGTAAAAATAATAAGAGAAGGACGAAACAACCAAAACCACAACCACAACAACAACAACAACCACCACAACCACAACCACAACAACAACAACAACCACGACGACGACGACGGCGACGACCACGACGACGACGACGACGCTACGACGACAACAACAACAACAACAACAACAACCACAACCACAACCACAACCACAACCACAACCACAACCACAACCACAACCACAACCACAACCACAACCAACAACAACAACAACAACAACCACAACCACAACCACAACCACAACCACAACCACAACCACAACCACAACCACAACCACAACCAACACCACCAACAACAACAACAACAACAACAACAACAACCACGACGACGACGACGGCGACGACGACGACGACGACGAAGACGACGACGACGAAGACGACGACAACAACAACAACAACAACAACAACAGCAGCAGCAGCAACAACAACAACAACAACAACAACAACACCACCAGCAGCAACAACAACAACAACCACAACAACCACAACAACCACAACAACCACAACAACCACAACAAGGACAACAAGGACATCAACATCAACCATCATCCCTCATAACTGCCTCTACAACTCGAACCACAGCGTCCATCTCAACTACAATTGCAACCAAGTCGAATTCAAAAGCGACCCGCTCCCTGACAGGACGGCACCGTTCGGGTTCAAACATGTCGTCCTAACATCACCTGCCAGAAACCGTTTGTTTCAAACGTGCCGCCCAGGCTGGGTCTCTAAAGGCTCAAAACTGCATCTACTCTGCCAAACATGCCAACCACTGACTGGTTATACCCTCTGCTTCAAAAATCGCTGCGGAAACCGCTCCTCTGCAACAACTTCTCTCTGCTTCCCTTCGTTCACTGCTCGGGCGGCTGGAGCGGAGCTCCGACAAACGCCCTCTTACCCGCGCTCTTGCCACTCTACTTCTTGGCTGCGGCTTGGAGCGGCGCCCCGTTATTATTTATAATCTATGTGTGATCCTTTAACCTCAATTCTTATTTATATTCTATTTATGATCCTTTACCCTCAGGTGGGCCCCTGGCCGGCTGTCGGGCGTAAGCCCTTGAATCCGGCGATGCCTTCGCAGTGTGTCTGCACCAATACGCCATAGCTTTAGCTACCTGGGGTCGCGCCCCTTGCGCCGACCCCCGGAATCCTTCACTCTACTGTTGTTTTCACATTTTTGGGGGTCCGGGGCTGGGAAAAGAGATGCTAAAATTATAAGGTGCTTTTGGAAGTCGATTTTGAAGCGTCTTTAAACCGTTTTTTGCCGATTTCTTGCCGCGCTCGGGAAGCAAAAACATCGTAAAATACAGTGTTTTGTAACCTTTTCGCATACAGAAATCTTGCAACATGGTGAAAACTGCGATACTTGTGTCTAGGCACTGGCACAAAAACATTGTAAATACCGTGATGTTTGCTACCAGAGGCAAAAAATATCGTAAACATCCTTGTTTTGAGCTTCCAAAACGCAAAAACAACGGTGTTTACTGTTACAGTGCTTTTTCTCCGAGGGCCTCAAAACAATGCGAAAACAGAATCTATTTGACGATTTTCAGGGGTCAACACAAACGCGAAAAGATATTAGCTGTATTGCTAGAAGAAGAAGAAGACGAAGAAGAACCACAACCACAACCACAACCACAACAACAACAACAACAACAACAACGAAAACCACAACCACAACCACAACAACAATAACAAGAACAAGAACAAGAACAAGAACCAGAACCAGAACCAGAAGAACAAGCACAAAAATGCGACAAAAAGATGAGTGGTAAGATGGTTACAAGCTGCTGTATGACAAGAACATCACACCAAGAACATCACACTGTGCTCTGCACTGGCGCGCGTGCAGAGCACATGAACAACACCAAATCTCACACTACTATACATAGCCCTTATGGCATCGCCGGTGTGCGAAGCTCTACAATATATGTGAAACCATATTAAAAAGGTTTGTTTCAACTGTGGTCCAGTCAAAGCGATGCTGCGGCTGTTGCACTTCCGCCACATGCAGCATCATGTGGCTCACTTTGGCCAAGAGATTGCTGTTGGAATTGAAACGAGGCTCCGAACGACCCGTGGCGTTATCCACCACCACTGTGTGTTTGTCTGCTGGATCCAAGCCCACTTCTGCTTCTGTGGACAAATCCACCACTTGGCAACCCCGGATCTGCTGGGGCGCATCCTTAGAGCTCACGAAGAAGATGCACAAATCGCAGTCCGCCAGCGATGTCAATGCCATTTCTGTTATGTCTTTGAGATCCCGAGGCCACAACGCTGGCACAACGCAAAGCAACCTGTCAAGGATACCAAAACAAGAAGAGCAATGTGGAAATCACATTGACCACCCTATACCTTGGGAAACACATGTAAAAAAGGTTTCGAAAAACACATCTTTCCCCAAACAGTGTGTCCACACAGAGGAGTTCTTACCGTAGCTGTAAAGGCCGGTGCTTGATCAGGGTGCTCACTCTGGTCTGCGGCATGTTACCTGTGAATTTCCGTACATGGTGGCTCTTGTGAAATCTTGACATGCGTTTCGGCTGCGCAGGCTCGCCCAAAATCTGTGTCTGCGTCCTGGGCTCATTTTGGTCTGCGGCATTTTACCTGTAAATGTCCGTAAAAAAGTGGCTCTTGCGAAATCTTGACATGTGTTTCGACCGCGCAAACTCGCACAAAGTCTTCGCCTGCGTTCTGGGCTCATTTTGGTCTGCGGCATTTTACCTGTGAATTTCCGCACAAAGTGGCTCTTGTGAAATCATGACATGCATTTCGACTACGCAGGCCCTCACAAAATGTGTGTCTGCATTCTGGGCTCATCTTATCGGTCGGCGTCATTTTACCTGTTAATTTCTGCATAAAATGGCTCTTGTGAAATCTTGACATGCGTTTCGACTGCAGAGGGCGGCTCTTGTGGAATCTTCACATGCGTGTGGACTGCGCAGGCTCGCACAAAGTGTGGGCCCCGGTCGTGGGATTGGTCTTCCTCCTCAACATCATCCTCCTCAACATCAACATCACATCTTCCACTTCCTTGACACCATCACCCTCAACATCATCACCCTCAACATCATCATCCTCGGCATCATCTTCCACAACATCATGATCCTCCACCTCATCTTCCGCAACATTATCATCCTTAACATCCTCCTCCTGAACATTATCCTCCTCAACATCATCATCTTCCTCCTTCACTAC